ATCGACCTTTGCTAATTAGTCGTTCGTTAGATTTCGTGGTGTGCAGAAGGTTAATTAAAATTACTACGCAATTTACAAACGAAGTACGTCAAACGACGTCATAAAAGAAACTGAATAAAGTGAGGTCAATACCTAGTAATATAAAAACCAGCTTGGCTTGCTTGCTGAGTTGTCAATTAAATGTAAATGTGTTGATTTTCTTTACAAATTACGATCACGATACGAGTTTTTTTGCTTGATTTCTAATTTAATTGATTCACGATAACCCTTAAACATTGCTTTGCTATGAAAAACAGCCTTCTCATAGCTTGTATTGATTTTAATCAACAATTTTATTTGAAGTAACTAAGAACAGTTATTTACGCTACGACACAAAGATTTTTCTCTCACTTTTAACCGTTCGCCCATTACAGACTATAAAACTCCACTGCTGGACATAAAATGAAGATAGAATTCCCCCCATTGCCTTATTTATTTATTTTACACATAATTTTATATTATAACGCGGTTCTCAGCTTATTAATTCTTAACATCTTTAGTGAAAAGAGTTTTCTGTTCTCTACACTCACCATACGAAACAGCAACATTAAGCTGCGTATTTTACGTCTATGTTCTGTGAAAGCGTGACCCTCCCCAGTTGAACCGACGCATAATATAGCTGCAGCAAGGTTCTGCCAAGTACCTAAAGATGTTATGGAGGTGGTATGGTATGGTATGGTGGGTAGTGTATAGGCGGGTTGGCAATCCTATGGTTTATAAAAGATAGCTTGATCTCTGCGACAGCTGTTAGTAAAAATCACGCCTATGAAGTCCCGAATTTCTTAGTAGTACAGACAGTACCTGTCAATGTCATACGTTATGAGCATGTACTAATTAGGTCGGCATGCCCATAAAGTATGACATTGACAGGTACTGTCTGTACTACTAAGAAATTCAGGACTTCATAGGCGTGATTTTACTGACAGCTGTCGCAGAGATCAAGCTATCTTTTATGAACTATAGTTTTTATAATTTTGAGCAGTGCTGGATTAAGCAATCGCGGGGCCTGCAGCAAATTTTATCGAGGGGCCCTTGATCTGCTATGGGTTTTTAAGTATAAAGTGGTCAAAACAATTAAATACTCAATACGTTTATTTACCATCTATAGGTTACAAATTTGTTTGTATTTAGTAATACAGTAATTTACTATAGCCCCTGTTAGACTCTGACAGGTACAAAAGGTCAGAAATGAGATTGTCCTTTGAATTTAGAATGATTTTGATAAGAAATTAATAATTTAAAACTGACGATACTGCACAAATAAATGTAGATCTTTTTAGTATGTACATATTTTGAAGTTCATATTTATTACAAAGAATGTTATATTTTTAGAATAGCTAATGTTATATTTTATGAATGGTGTACTGAAGTCGAGGAGATACGACCAAGGCGTTTTTTTGCAGTACACGCGAAGACGTGTGTCGTTTGGGGATTAAACTGTATTAGATTTAGTCGCCCCCAAGTCGAGACTTTGTTCAGTAAAGACTTGACTTCAGACATGAATTTGTTCCGGAACTCGACGACGTCTTCTCGAGAAATATTAGCACGGCCGGCATCAGCGTATGTCGTCTATGTACTCGTAACAATGAATGTTACTAGTATGCAACGTGGAATCATTTTGGAACAGACTTGTGGAACACTTGCATTCACAGGCTTGGAGTCGGAGCATGCACCATTGACTGCAACCTTAAAACACCGATCTGTAAGAAAACTGGTGACCTAATTGCGTAATTCCTCGGAAAGGAAGCTTTGAAAGAAGCCAAAACTGACGAAATACTTCCTTATGTCCAAACTAACCAACAGTGCCTACCTCCTGGTCTCGACTGCCTCCACCCATCGGTGAGTCAGGTAGACAAGAAGATCGCCAGCTGATCGATTTTGACGAAAATCGTTATGATGTTAAACACCAGCTAATGCTCTTCGAGGTACCGCATGAGCCAGCAGTTAATAATGAATGCCATTATTTTGTGGAACAAGGTAATGGCCATAGGCCTGTAGTTGGACGGGTCTAAGTGGTCACCTTTTTTTGGGATCATGTGTACTAAGTCTAACTTCTATGAGCCTGGAACGACGCCTAAAGAGTTAGAGAACCGGAAAAGTCGTGTAAGAACTGGTGCCAACTCTAGAAAACATATCTTCAGTCCAAGGGAGTGATTCCATCAGGTCCTCTCGATTGCGACAGGAATGCGCACCAAGCGCTGTGTAAACAGCACGTCTGGCATCAATGCCGGACCATCTCGCGGTATGAATGCTCAAGCACCCATACCGCGAGATGGTCGGAGGTATGTTCCCCCCGTCGTCAAGGAGTTGGATGCAAAAAGAGAACCTAAGAGATCGGCTTTCTCCTTTGCGGCGTGGGCCCTGAGTCATATTCTTTGTGCGAAGATGGTAATGATGGCTGACAAAAATTCCCTTGTGCAGCCTTGATGATGGATCAGAATGCACGAGTTTCCGAAGGAAGGTGAACTAGTTTCTCGCCAATTCTCCCAATGTGCTTCGACTTTGCCCCAACGATAACTCTTTTGAAGTACCTGAAGGCCAAGTTGTTCTTCTTTATAAATGCGCTAGTGTTCGCATCCTGGTCCACCCATGCATCAGCTTAGGCCTTGTAGAACTCCTGCTTTTGACGTGACGCAATTTTGCAGGAGCGTCCAAATCAAGGCTGGGATCTACTGCCGATAGGCACTAGAGATGACTGGATGAAAAGTTCCATCCTCTGAAGCATCACATCGCCGACAAACCCAACAACGATTTTTTGGGATCAGAGAGCGTGAGGTAAATACATTTATGCGAAAAAGCCCACATCCTATCCAAATCCGCGATCTTTAGTGCTAGACGCGGCGGAAGCCTCCCAATTGATCACTGTACCACGGAGCAGACAGTAATCCAACATGAGACAAGAGGGACTTTGACGGATACCTGATAGACGTCCGGATGAGAGGTCAGCAAAAGGTTCAACGGGGAAGGTGTAAAATTCTTCACATCTGGAATCCGCGTGGGCAAAGTGACCAGCTGTATCAGACCATATGCCAAGGCAAAGTTGTAAAGAGATCTTCGCATGTGATCCATAGTACGAGAACCGAGTGATTTAGCGTGGGGGGTATTTACTATTTACGCGGTCCTGGGCAAATATATGCAAGGGGTGGTCACGAAATTGGAGATAAAATAGTTTTGAATATTATTGTATTCATTATCATTTAGTAACATTATCATACATTATATATATATATATATATTATATTTATAAATTACAGTGCAGTGGCGGTGTTAGAATATCCACTACCCCAAACGATACCGTGGGTGTCGTAAGAGGACCCCGTCGTTGCTCTGCACAAGTACATTCGTTACACAACGGTTATAATCTCTTTAAAGCTGTGATTGTAAAACTTTGTAACATCACCGTTATAAGAAAGATTTTATCTTTGTATTTGTTTATACTCATATAAGAATTTAACATACAAATAAACTTTATTGCAGCATATTATGATATCAACTTTAGAAATCGTTAATTAACTGTCGTTAGTGGTTTTAGTTGCAGTTTGTTGGAATTCTTATTACCTAAGTGTTCATAAAATTCAACATAACTTATCACTAACTAAGAAACCGTTATAATACAATCAGCGTACACATGCGAAAAAGCCCACATCCTATCCAAATCCGCGATCTTTAGTGCTAGACGCGGCGGAAGCCTCCCAATTGATCACTGTACCACGGAGCAGACAGTAATCCAACATGAGACAAGAGGGACTTTGACGGATACCTGATAGACGTCCGGATGAGAGGTCAGCAAAAGGTTCAACGGGGAAGGTGTAAAATTCTTCACATCTGGAATCCGCGTGGGCAAAGTGACCAGCTGTATCAGATCATATGTCAAGGCAAAGTTGTAAAGAGATCTTCGCATGTGATCCATAGTACGAGAACCGAGTGATTTAGGGGGGTTTTTGTTCGGTTTGTATTGTTCATTTTCGTCAACGAAATTGTCTCACATGTATAATTTTAGATGGAAAATGTACAACGTTTCACGTTTTGTGACATCAAGTAATTTAATATACTACATTTTACAAAGTTTCACTCAAAAAATTATGCTTAGGCAGTGATGGGCAGGCTTGGATACGCGGACCCCTTTTTGCGCGGGGCCCATAACAATTGCTACTCCAGCTACGTGGTTAATCTGGAACTGATTTTGAGTTCTTATCAGAAATACGCTGCTGTCCATCTCATGATTTGTTTCTCTTTGCCGGCTCTTGCGACACCCACGGGACGGCTGCAACTTATAAGCCTATTTGATGGACTTCTTTAGCAAGCCACAACAAAATACTCGAAAAATAATGTTTGTATTTGGTATTTGGTTAACGTACTTAAACAATAAACAAAAATCCGCAATAAATTGACCATTTATGTAAAATGTCAATTTACGTTGTATTTATATTTTTATGTATTACTTATCAGTATACTCTATGACGTCATCATTAGTATCTGTTATATTGTTATAAAAATTAAATACTTTCTAGAAAAAAAAAATATTAATGCATGCAGATATGGCACTTCATGTTTATAGTAGATACAATTTAAATTTATTTATTCACATATCGAACTGTAATAATCCTTGATTTTTATCTTTATTTAAAAATATTATGTGTATCTTTAACATATAAAAAGCTACTTGATTATGTACTGTTTTGAAATTAAAATTATATTTTCAAGTAAATTTACTTAATTATTATTCATATTGGAATACTTGTAATAGTTAATAAAAGGTGCGTTATTCGGCTTGGGTTAGATATACGTTAGTAGGACGCTCGTAGTAAAAACGCTAGTAATAAGGCCGTTTAGTTTTAGTAAAATAAAATATCAGATATCTATTTGTCGTCTGAAAGTGATGTAAGCCGCACGCGTGCTGCAAAATCTTACAATAAAACAACTCGATTTGAAAAAAAAATTAAGGTCGTTAAGTGATCATAATGGGCAGTAGGAAAACGGAAAATGTTAAAAATAAGAACACGCAAGTGAAAAAATCACCGCGAATTAAGGAGGCACCCGGAGTTTTAGCGCGATTATGGTTTTTTTGGACTTTTCCATATTTTTACTATGGAAATCGACGGGATTTGGAAGAATACGACTTAGTACGTGCTAAGTCTAAGTACAACTCCAAATTAGTGGGCGATAATTTAGAAAGGCAAGTGTTTATTTTCTATTCATATTGCTAAACATAAATTAAATTCTGTGATCTTAGCCCCGAATATTATTATTTTAATAAATAAAAATCTAGACTGAAAATGTTACAAAATATTTTAGTAGCATTATTTTAATTCACACTAAATTTGTTTATTTTATTTTTTAATAAAAGATCTTAACAGAACTAATACTTCTGGTAACCACTCCAACTAACCTAAAGTGGTGTTAGGCTTATGACAGTTGTGGAACAATGGATTTGAACCAACGACTTTTCAGTTTCGCAGTACGTGTTAGACTATTGTCGCTATATGTAACAATATTAATGCAGATTAGCTTGTTTTGTTAGTTACCTTTTTTAATGTCTTTGATATTTTAGTCGGGCAACTATGTTGATAGTTATTCACTAAATGCTACCAAGGTAACATCGTGTATATATGACTGTGTATAAAATCAAATGAGGTTTTGTACACAGTTATATACACCGAAGGCGTTTCCAAAACTGGTTTAGAGACGACTTTGATGTCAGCCGATGCCACTGCCAGGGCTGGTATTTACTATTTACGCGGTCCTGGCCAAATACATGCAAGGGGTGGTCACGAAATTGAAGATAAAATAGTTTTGAATATTATTGTATTTATTATCATTTAGTAACATTATCATACATTATATATATATATATATATATATATATATATAAATTAGAGTGTAGTGGCGGTGTTAGAATATCCACTACCCCAAATGATACCGTGGGTGTCGTAAGAGGACCCCGTCGTTGCTCTGCACAAGTACATTCGTTACACAACGGTTATAATCTCTTTAAAGCTGTGATTGTAAAACTTTGTAATATCACCGTTATAAGAACGATTTTATCTTTGTATTTGTTTATACTCATATAAGAATTTAACATAAAAATAAACTTTAATTGCAGCATATTATGATATCAACTTTAGAAATCGTTAATTAACTGTCGTTAGTGGTTTTAGTTGCAGTTTGTTGGAATTCTTATTACCTAAGTGTTCATAAAATTCAACATAATTTATCACTAATTAAGAAACCGTTATAATACAATCAGCATCTCTATTCATGCATTGTAATATGTCGAAAGCGCCTTTTGAATATAGATAATTTAAAATGAATCACACTAAAAGCCATTTTTATTCTTCCTTCCGATATACATATATATATATATATATATATATATATATATATATATATATATATATATAGTATTGATGAGCGGAAAAACATATACCTAATATATACCCGTTTTTGTCTGATAGTGGCCGTGAAACTACCGGACGACTTCGTCGATGGAGGTCGTATTTACATAATATATTTTTATAGAGAAGATGGGTCCACCATATGACACTGTAAGGTTATTAAAAATTTAATATTTACAGGCCAAAGTGACTTATATTTGCAATATATGTTGGTTTAGTGCCAAAAATAAAAATTTAAAAATCTAGACCCTATAAACTAGTGCTGTGGTCGAGTCATTAATTACTTTTATATTTTCACTATATAAACCGGAATCGAGGATAAATATAGATGTCTATAGGCCTCAGCATCCACTTACCATCAGGTGGACTGTGTGCTCGTTAGCAACCCATATTTTCTTGCTTAGGGCCCTGTAACACCGGCTCTCGGAAAATGCCAGATTATAAAATTCGGTTAAGTACACACAAATATTCTAGCATTCAAACTACACCATTGGGTTGGAAAACTTAAATCAATTAAACGAACAAAACAAAACTTAAACAAATTAATGTATAAATGTTCATTCGAAATATTACTGATAACAAAAAATCATATTAATAACTTTATTGTATAACATTGTAACTACACAATACCACCCATTCATTTGTGTAAAGAGGCTGGAAAATCTTCGTCCCTTTATAGTAAATGTTAAAACAAAAAAGGAATATCAGATAGAATCAGCACATAAATTGTATAGTTTTCAAAAAGGTGAGTCAATTTAACTTTTTAAATAAGTTTTATGCGTAAATCGTACCAAAAATTAATATTCAAAAACTGAAGGTAGTCGGATTAACTATGACATTGGGACGTCAAATATCTCAGTCCCCCCCCTAATTTTTTTCAAATTTTAATTTTGTTTTGTGCTTAAGCCATTATATTTCTCATTTAGTTTTGCAAGTACCGGCTGAATACATTAAAAAAAAACATTCAATGGGAATGTTGAATAGATTGTATAATGATTGTAAGAATTATATTTAAATTACTTTTACGACTCTCTAATTTTATAAAATGCGCGCATAACTTGATTTTAGTAAAATAATATTAAGACTGTAGAATATAACCTAAACAACACGCATCGATCAAAAGCTGATTATTTTATTTTATCCTGGTGATCGGGATACTAAGATAAAAGTATTAAATCGGCCGTCTACAAGTTGGTGAAAATCACGTTAAAATATTCTGTTATGTAGATATATAGGTAAATATAGCTAAACGGAAAGCTAATAAAAGCGTGTTACTAAAATTCTAGAATATTTTGTTAGTTAAAAGTTGATTGTGTAATGACGAATCGTATTCGAATTATATATTAGAAATAAAAATTTATGTGTTATTGTGTTCGATGATTTTTAAGTGTAAAAATCATCGAACACAACACATAAAAGAAAACGGAATAAATACAAATTTATGGAATATAAATATTATTATTAAAAATATATATTTATGGAAAATTTTATCTATAGGGGTCATGATTGCTTATGTTTAACGAATACTTATGAAAAAAAGGCTTCCAATTTGTCTAATACAAACATTATTTCAAACGAGATTTGGTCTTTTCATAAAGGAATTAAGTCATTGTAAAGTAACCCTCTCATCTCTAATTGCAAAGAGGATTTTTATAATATGGAAATTTTCGAATTGTGATTTTTAGAATAGAATGGGGAATCAATGTGTGTTGGCGTGCTGTATATTAATAGATTTTTTTTAAATGAGTTTTTCTTAACAATTCCGTTTTCAACGAAAAAATCAATAATAAAATTGTAATTAACAATTCAAAAAAAACATTGGTGATCGCGGGGATCGATCGCGGGTTGCACTTAAACTATGAAATTTAAGACGACTACTTTAGGTCTTTTGTAATTTCTCTAACAGTTTCTTTGATATTTAATCTGATGATCGAATGCTAATGCTGAGACTACTTTTTACTTTTACGGTTGTTTTATATTATTTCTTGATAATTTGATAAAATTATTTATATTTTATTGATCTTTTGTATATATAATCACATCAAAACATCAAGTAATTATATTTTATATTTATGAGCAATTATAATTATTGTAATTTCAAATTTTAGTATTTTTTTTTCTAGATCGTAATACATTAAGTACGAAATGGGGTATACGAAATAACATTCGCAAGTTATATAAAAAATATTTACAATTCACACTCAGAGATCATCTATATCTAAATAAATAAATAAATTTTAAATGTCTGTGTTATAGAAATAACTGGCTTCCATTAAGTTCAGAGGATTATTTTCATGCTAGTTAGACGTGAATTACCAATTTTTATAACGTCATGTCTTTCTGTCTGTCTGCCATATGAGCCGTGGTAGCTAAGATGGTTAACGCTCGCTGCGGGTTCGATCCCCGCCGGCAATAATGAAATTGTTAATTGCAATTTTAAGTGCTGATTTACCACGTGTTCGGAAAATATCGTGAGGAAACCTGCATGTCTGAAGAATAAGAAAAAATATTTCGAAGATATGTGAAGTTTGCCAACATGCATTGGGGCTGCGCGGCGGAAACTTCCTTGCTCTAAAACCCTCTCAGAAATGAGGGGAGGCCTATGCCCAGCAAGTGGGACGTATATAGGCTGTAACTTTACTTTACTTTATATCCAGGAGTGATCTCGCCTATATTCTATAATGTCATCTGTCTTTCAGTCAGTCTGCCTTCCTGTCTGAGCTCGGACCTTCAGAATGACTAAACCGATTGTAATGAAAATTGATAGAGAGCATTTCCAGGAGTAATCTCGCCTATATTTTATAATGTCATCTGTCGTTCGATCTGTCTGCCTTCCTGTCTGAGCTCGGAGCTTCGGAATGGCTAAACCGATTGTAATGAAAATCTTTAGAGAGCATTTCCAGGAGTGATCTCGCCTATATTTTATAATGTCATCTGTCGTTCGATCTGTCTGCCTTCCTGTCTGAGCTCGGAGCTTCGGAATGGCTAAACCGATTGTAATGAAAATTGATAGAGAGCATTTTCGACGATGGAACTACTACTATAGGGATGTCTAGTTGTAGATTTGCAGGTTTTTTTGATAAAAGTTGAAGTTGGATAGCACAAAGCTCTTTATATAAAGTTAAAATCATTTTAACTTATGCAATATAGTTCATCTGCGTTCTATGTTTATTTTTAAATAGTGCCCTGTGTTATAAAATCTATATAATAATCTAAAATTATTCGTATAGCATATAGACACATGTATCGAACAACATCGTGAGTCAAAATACACTTTTTTGTGATTTTATAACCAATTGATCAGTAAAAAAGACGTATCAAACTGTATATATAATCACTACGTCTAAGAGGCACGACTGCCTGAGTAAAAGTAAATGTAAATATTGTTACAAGCTTGGGGTTCGTGACAATATAAACTGCCGATTGAATAACCCAAATTGACACTTTACCGAACAGAACGTACAACTTAAAACACACTAATAATAAATCACTCTGATCACTTTTCTTCGCAGCTATATCGCTTCGAAGTATTCGCTTGAATCGCCAATTCAATACTGTCTCGATTGCGGTCCTTAACAGTTTTATATAGAGCTCCTTGTACTGAAATGTCTAGAATGAATTCGAGTACATACCGGTTCCGGCTGTCTGGATATAGAAAGTTCTATATGGAATTTTCTAGAAAGCTCTCCTAGTTCTGCTACTCGATACTAGATGGAGCAAGTGGAAACTTGCCATGTACCAGACATTAATTATGGCGCGCAATATATGATAGGGCGCCAAACTACTCTACCAACATCAAGACATGATATTTAATTTTTGACGGACAGTGCTGACAACATAGGCGAATTATAATAGTGCTGTAAATTTCTATCCTCGGATAATTTCATTATAAATAAAAGTTGTTACATGGAAATGAGTAAAAATGCCGATGAGGATAAGTAATCAATGTATTTTAAACATAGGAATTTGAAATTATATCTATACAATTTGTAATTATATCTACATAATAATAATTTGTTGTTTTTGGTTCTTTTTGTGTACATTAAAGTATATTTCATTCATTCATTCATCCATTATTGAGTGCCAAGATTCAATACAATTTTGAAATAAATTAATTGAAAATTAATGTACTTATACTGTTTGATTATTTCTACACTCGTAGTTTTTCCTTATCTTCAAAGTTTTAGTGTAAAATATTGTCAATCCATTAAATTATATAGTGAATATTTTACTCTAAATGTTTTAGTCTACTTTGTTTGCACAAATAAATATTTAAATAATTGATATAAGTAGGTAGTCACGATTTTACGAGAATAATGAAACAATACGTGACAGAGAAAATGTAGTGTGTGCTTATCGATATTATGTGTGTAGTTTTTCTATGTATACATTAGTAAAACTTCCATGTTATATAATATGAGTAACTGCTGATGCTTGTGGTCTCAGGTTCGTGGTGAGACGGTTGGGTTTTCTGTCAAGAAATTTTCAGTAGCAGCACGGAATCAGAAAGTTGGCGGTGTTTCATTCCTGTGCCTCGAAAAGTACGTAAAGCCTTTGCTCTAGCGGCTGTCGTGTCTCTGTATATCTCTCTCCGGTCGTATCGGTTTACCATTCCATCGGACTATGAGATTGAGTGTATAGAGATTGCAATTGTGCTTGCGCTTACACTTGGCTACTATAATTCTGTCCTGCGGGGATGGCTAGTCTACGTTGAGGCTGGCCGCCGTGAACGAAATTCGGTTTGGAGGACAATATTATTAATAATATAACGTCTCTAAACACCAGTAATAACAATAGCCTATCAAAAAGCTTCTTTTGGCTATTCTTTCGTTTTGGGCACTAGTCCACTATGTATATATTCTGTTTGTAAATATTTAATGTAATGACCACATTAGTCAGTAGATTGAAGATCGTAGTACCAAACACTTGCGCTGAAGGTTCACCACTAATAATGGTGATAAAACTCTTATGCCCCATTTACATTCAACCCTGTTGGGCAGGGAAGTGAGCAGGGCAGTGGGCAGGGCAGTATGTAACAGGCTACTCGCGCTGACACAGCCGCTGCCGCTGCCACTGCCCGACGATCGCTCAAATGTCGGTTTTTCGTGCGGAAGTCAAAGGACGGGCAGCGCGAGCGGCAGTGAGTGTTCACATTCAGCTCCATCGCTCACTTCGCGCCAAGCGCCTGGATGAACAGACGTGCGTGCAGTCTTGTTATTAAATAAGTACGATCTACCAAAATGCCTTTCGAGTGGAATAATGAAAATACAATAAAGTTTTTAAAACTGCTGGAATCAGAAAAAACTGGGATTTCAACGATAAAAACCACAATTCATCGTCTTCTACGAATACGATTTTTCTTTTTGAGATAACATTGTACCTATGTACATAATTAATTGTAAATTCGTCAAATTTATTATTTTAATATAAAATTTAGTTTAAGGAATTAATGAACATTGACATTTTATTTCTAAAAACGATTAGTAACTCATATTGACTATTTATTTATTAAAATGTAAAATAAGTTAAATGGTAATATTTGCATAATAGCCTGAGATTTTTAAATTATAATTTTATTGAAATTAAAATTATGAATTAATTTATACTGTAGTGTAATTATTAAAATGATAATAGCTTAATTAATCTCATATAATATTTAATATTATTTATGTAACAATAATGTAATAATTCAATTAATAATTTAGGAACAATTTATTGTATAAGAATTCAAATAGAGTGGATCTGTATAAGTATTTCATTAATACATAATATTTTAATTCAAAAAGAATGTTTGCACCTAACTTTTAAGCAATGCAATAATTTTAAAATATAACATTGGGTTTGTGTAATTAGCTGTATTTTATATCATTTTTGCATGCCAATTATGGCAAAACATGTCAGTTCAACGTCATTGATCATCTTATGTACCATGTTTTTAAGCTAATAAATTTTCTATCTATATATCTATCTTCTTTTGAACTTGATATCTTTTGAAATTATTAACATAATTTTGTATTGCAAGAAGACACAGCGCGGACGCTGTAATTATTTCGACGTCTGCCATAGTCGAAAGCCGAAAGTGATGTGAGTGGTAGGGCAGAGTGTGAATACACACTTCCCGCAATCCTGCTACGGCAGTATTTAGGGAAGTATTGCCGGCAGCGCGAGGAGCAGTGGCAGTGGCTGAATGTAAATGGGGCTTTAGGTCCGGCTAGGTACTGCTTTCTAAAAATTAAGAGCTGATTTCAAAAAATAAAAAAGAATAAAATAATTTCATATTCCGAACCTGTTGCTAAATTATAGTGTAGTTTATCACAAGTTAGTTTTTATCCTTTTTGAATGGACTTAGCAATATCACAATGTCACCTAAATACTTACACTAAACACTTCATACCCTAATTAGCCTGATTGACCCGATTATACTTAGATGGCGTACAAATAAATGAGCTATGCATAAACCAGTTTTGCAAAAGCATTTAAGAGTTTAACAGAACTGTTAAATTATTCAGCATCATCACAACTGTCATCATCATCGTCATCAACACATTTCGAAATATTGTTTATAATAGGTTAAAGAATCCTGTAAAATAACATCAGAGTTTCTTAAATAAAAATCTTATTTAAAGAGACCCTCTTTCGTTTCGTAAACATATTTTTATCTATTGTTTCAGAAATTGGCTACAAGAAGAGGCGGCAGCGAAGTCTACCGGTAGGAAACCATCCTTTAAAAAATGTCTTGTGAAGACATTCTTTTGGTCTTTCGTACCTGGAGGCATTTTACAATTTACGTGTGTTTGTATTCAGTAAGTAATTTACTATAGGAATTATTACCAATATTTAAATGAAACTAATTTTTACTGATTATATCACGTATATTAACTTATTTTATATTCCCGACGTTTCGAGCACTTTACAGCACCCATGGTCACGCTCTGTGTCTCAACGAGCTAGCTAACTGAGGACCGTGGGAAAGACTACTGGAGCTCGGAATGTTAAAACCTACGAAAATACGATGAAATCATTACATTAACAAAATAAGAAAGATTGCAACTACATCTGTATTTTTTCTTTTAATTACTTTATGTTTCTTTCGTTTAGTTTCTAGCGGCGTCTTAACTGTGTAATTTTAATAACTTTGGAGGGTTCTTTATAAAATAATTAATTTACGAAAAAAAATATAGAAATATGAATGTTGTAGATATAGATCATATCTTAAAAATATTTGCTCTAACGTTATTCTACAGGTAGAAACAAATGACTACGTTTGTATGGACCTACGAGCACAAAGAATTTAATTTATGTACCTACATTTATTTTTTATTTATTTTTTGCCCTAGCATAATTTAAAATTTATAGAACGACATTGGGTCTTTGATTCTTATTATAGTCCGAAGATATTGTATAATTAAGTGGGTGTAGACAGGGTTTCACCGAATACTAGCTTCATAAGCAAGGGTACGTGTATGCACGAAGAAAATGTATCATCATCATCATTAAAATATTGTTTATTGTTCTTTGATTATTCTAAATAGGACAGTCACTCCGCTGCTCTTCGCAAAGTTGCTCTCTTACTGGTCTGCAAATTCTACAATAAGTAGAGAAACTGCTGCATATTACGCCGGTGGCATGATTTTGAGCAATTGGATAGCTGCCTTTTGCGGACACCATGGAAATTTTCTATGTCAGCAATTTGGAATGAAGTTAAGGGTGGCCATCAGTTCTCTTATGTTTAGAAAGGTGAGAGTTATGATTTAGAATTTTTGTTTTAAATTGAGGTATGATTCAATGTTCTATTGCTTAATAAAATTTTATAGATAATTGAAAATATATAGTTGTATTTAAATATCAAACATTTTGTGAATTCTAATTTGTACCTTTTAACATATTCGGTACTTTTTGGTACATAAGTTACGTTACTAAAAATTATTAAAATATACAAGACAAAATATGTGACATCAAAAATAAAACCTTTCAAAGCTTTATGGATTTACGGACTGGTTTGATTCACTTATCTATCTATCTATCCATATATATATATATATATATATATATATATATATATATATATATATATATATATATATATATATATATATATATATATATGTGGATAGGTAAAATTTAACCCAACTTCAATGGTTACATTTTCCAAAATCCTTTCTTAGCTTAACACTGAAACTAAAGGTTGGTGTAGAGAAGAGTCCTCTACGCTGCAGCAATGCGCGTTGACAGACTTTGCATGTCCTCTAAATATGTTTAACTTCTCAGACATCCAGTTTCCCCAGCTATCATCACCGACGACTATGTGATAAATCAACATTTGAAATTGCAACTAACAATTTTATTGGGTTGTTGCCGTGTAGTGTTGGTGTAAGAACACCCACTACCCCATGTCATGCCGTTGGTCTCGTAAGAGGCGCAGAGGGAAACAAATCCGAACACACAGCAGTGTCTTCCTAATAACGACTAAAAATAAATAAACTGCGGTTGCCCGGCTTGCCAAGCGTGGCAACTATGGCAAATATCCCCCCTATGAGGCAATGAGGAGGCCCGTATTCAGCAGTGGACTTTAATAGGCTGTAACTGCTTAGGTTTGTTTTTGACCCATTATTCTCGACCAAAAAAAGTCAAAAAATATACTAACGAAAAAAGGTAAAAAACCTCGTTTTGTAATATAAATAAAATGAAGGTATGTTATACTTAACATAGATTGGCGCTGCATAGTACCAGAGAAACGGTTGCCATGATAATTCATCATTAGTGTATTATTACGAAATGAATCATTAGCGTGGTAGAATCTTGCTGCAGCTATATTATGGCTGTAGCACGAATGGGTCGGCTCGACCGGGGAAGGACCAAGCTCTCACACAGTACCAGCTTAAAATAGCAGCTCAATGCTGCTGTGTTTCCCAAAGACCCATTTTTTTGGAAAAGAGGCATTTCATCTTAGTCCTCAGGGATTGCAGCGCGTCTGTATTTTGTTACTTAATCGAGGAAAGATGTGAATGTCCATGGGCCACAGCATCCACGTACCATCAGATGGACTGTGTGTTCGTTTGTCACTTATTTCTATAAAAAATAGCGCTAAAGAATACATTATTTTAAGCATTTGGCATAAAAGAGCTTTGACCAAATCGTATATTGATATATAAAATCAAATATAAACAAATCAAATACAATTGCAATATTGAATAAATTGAACAAATTGTAAAAAATTTTTTTGAATTTGATATTTTTGAACTACGACTTCTGGAACTACCACTAACTAAAAACTAAAAAACTGTGCTTGACCTATTAAAGTTAAAAATACCAGGGTGACCATTGATATGAACAATGGGTGACCAAGCTTTTCTCCGCGTTAGAAGAATTATTATAATCTTCTCAGGAATTACACCTATCTTGATAAATTCGGAAAGTAAAACATTATGTACCTAAATACGAAATTTCATCCAAATCGTTAAAGCATTTAATTTTCATTACAGAAGTTTTATGCAATATACAATTCATAGTTATGTAGGTTTAAAGTTTGTAACATAACATTTCACTAATTAAAATTAAGGAAAATTTATTTTTGATATCTTGGGAACGTTTTTAATATAATTCTGCTAAGAGTACTGAACTCGAGGCTTGGTATATTATAGTTTTGAAGGGGGAAACTTAAGTTTTGGCAATTTAAAATTAAAAAATTAAATTTTAAAAATTCTTTATTTACTGGATTAATTTTAAGTTACAAATAAATTAAGTTTATAAGGGATGCTATATTATCCAAAAGTTAACAACTTGTAAAGTCTCTAGTTCCTTAAGAGATTTGAATTCTTGAGAAATAAATTAAACATAATTGAGAACTGCGTTTTATCTTTCGTAAAATGAAACCAGTTGCCTGGGCACTTAAAATACTGTCTAGCCTAATTTTTTCGCAGCATTGCATGATTACATTATCAATGTAAAAATATATTACATTAAGTCTTTTTGTTTACAATTATGAATCATAATCGTCAATAATCTTATTGCTAATTATTGTTTATATTAATAATCTGGTAATTATTATGAACAGCGTGTATTTTTTTATTTTAGTACAAATAAATTAAACAGAAATAGAAAATGTTTATAGCAAGAAATATAAAAAATCTTCTTATTAGTTTATATATGTATATATTCAACGGCTGAGTCCATTTAAACGTGAAGGAGCCATGTTGCAGCCACAATAATAGAGCCACAATAATAGTTTTAGCACAAATGGGTCGGTTTGACCGTGAGAGGACCACGCTCTCAAAGAATATCAGAGTAAAATTGTAGCTTAACGTTGCTACGTTTTGTATAGTGAGTTTAGAGAACCAGAGACCCTTTTTAATGGAAAGGAGGCATTTAGAATTTTAACCCGGGATAAATGTAGATGTCTATAGGCCCCAGCATCCACTTACCATCAGGTGAACTTTGTGCTCGTTTGTCACATTTATCCTGTAATAACAATAATACCCTCAACCGATAAAAGATGTAAGAGAGGTCTTCTTTCTCCAGGGCTGCTTGCTTTGGAAACCACCGGGAACAGTCGTGTCAAGTCGTGTCAATTGTCTAAAATTAATAGAATTTTGACAATTTCCGTATGTAATCTGTGAATTTGCTATAGGTATAGTTTGTATATATACTATTTTTGACAATTTCCGCATATAATCTGTGAATTTGCTATAGGTATAGTTTATATATATACTATTTTTGACAATTTCCGTATATAATCTGTGAATTTGCTATAGGTATAGTTTGTATATATACTATTTTTTTATTTGTTTTAGATTATGCGAATGAACAATGGTTCTTTGGGAGGGACAACGGCAGGGAAAGTTGTGAATATACTGTCAAATGATCTGCAGCGATTTGATTTAGCGTTTTTCTTCCTACACTACATATGGATAATTCCACTGCAGTTATCCGCGGTTTCATACCTGGGCTATATGCAAGCGGGTACTGCTGCTCTCATCGGATTGGCTGCTTTAATTATCATAGCATTGCCCGTTCAAAGTTAGTACGATTAAATAGTATATAAATTAAACTCGTGTGTAAAAGTGAAAAGAAAATATCTTTAATATTTTTAATATTGAAATTCAATCGTTCTTCTCATTCATTACAGTGTACCAAAAGTCCAATGCTAAACTTCTTCTCTCTTCTTCGCTCTTCTTCTTCTTCCATAGATTGTCTCATATACGGATTGGCGACTGCAGTTTTTTATAGTTCCGAGTTGTTATCAGCTTATCAGGCAGATGCTGTCGCCCATCTCCTTTTCGGTTTCCCTCCGTCGCCTATTACGACACCTATAAGATGATATACGGCAGTGGATTCTCTTAAGCTACCAGTATACGTCACGACTATATTACTTTCTACATTAATATTTAATCCGCTGTTAAGGAATGGCTATAAGTCAGCCGTTTCGTTTTCCGATTGATGATAATATAACTTAAAACAAACATAACGAAAATATCACGACAGGCATAAAATACTCAGACTGGCAAAAGTTCGAAACATCTGATACTGCTGCTACTGGTATCGTCAATCTAGCTGCCTAGTGCGATCAAGGAAAATCCTTACTATGAAGGGAGACGCTAAGAGAAGAAGGAGTTATCAGTGATCTATATATTCTGTGGTAGATGCCCATATCTACTACTTATGCACTAAAGAAGTTTTTTAATTTGCTACCATTGGGGAGGGGGATTTTTCTCCAAATTTATATGGGACCACCCTTAAGTATAACCAATTTAACAAAAAGTAGAATTATCAAAACTGGTAGACAATCTGCGAAGATATCGCGTAATATACATACAAAAAAAAAACCTGCACACTAATTGAGAATCTCAATATCAAAATTCAACGCTCCGGGAAGTTTGTCAATCTGTGAACACGTACAGGATCGCCCCCATCACTACGTCAGATTTGATAGACACAAACCCTCGCTAAAGTAAACAGATTCGTTCCAAGGCTGATTCACGAGGCTATTGAAATCAAAAAACATCCTAATTTCAAGAGAGAATATGGCTGGGTCTGGATCTGCTTGGGATCCTATAATTAATAAAATTAAATCTCAAACCAAGCACAGAACTGCAAGACTTCAAGATACCATAAGTTCATATTGCGTAGATCGGAAACTAAAATTAAAATTGTATATCTATGGTAACCGCGGTTAAGTATGGCATATGGACGTTGAACATCTCAGTCCCACCCGTGGCCGTGGGTGCTGTAAAGTGCTCGAAACGTCGGGTATCTAAAAAGTTAAATATACGTGATAAAATCCGTAAAAAGTAGTATTATTTAAATTATTTAAATAACAAAGGAAAATTAATGTAGACAACCATTTTTATAAAATTGAAGATGATAGAACACAGATATGACACCTGTTGGTAAGTGTCCACTACAGCCCATGGACATATGCAACAAACTTCAAACAAAGAAGGCTGTTGCTTGGTTATCACTTCTGAGGACTTAGCTAGTATATCTCATAGCCTGTAGTTTTATCACAGCAGAATTAAGTCAATGGGTGATACCTGCTCTTACGGACTACTAGTCGGACTAGTCCTACCACTTGGTAAAAAATTATGATATAATAACACTAAAAATAAATGATATAACGTTTTACTAAATGGTGATAAATATATAAAACATTTAAACATTAAACCTAGTATTTACTTAAATATTACTACAAATATACTATAAATATAACAAATAAACTCTCTATCATAAGAATTGAAAATACCTTTATTTTGTTTAGGTGGTCTTGGAACATTTGTTGGTAAAATAAGATTTCGTACTGCAGAAAAAACAGATGCACGGGTCAAATTAATGAACGAAGTTATTAATGGAATACAGGTAAGAAACACCAAAATATGATAATTCAAATTAAATATCTATTTTAATTACAAATAGTATAGATAAATACAATATTATAGCATGGTATGAAAGTACGACGATTACATTTTAGTAGGTACTATGTGAAAAGAATATCCGGGAACTAATTAGGAGATTTCTGCATTTTTCTGAAAATAGCTAAACATAAAAAACAGTGGTTTTTTATAAGATAAGGGTGGCAAACGAGCTTACTGTTTAACTGATGGTTGCCAACTTGCTATCCAAGTGCGACAACTTTGGCAAACATTATTCCCATTCAAGAAGTTACTAAGAGACAGATCTCGGTCTCCGGCGGCCCCGCTTTTCCTGACAAATGTGGCGAACATAGTAACGGTGTAACGGCGGTGCTAAAATTCGCGGGCGAAGGATCGGTTGCCACCTTCAACGTCTTGACTAGTTACTCTAAACGCTTGCAACTTAAGGACTGAATACAAGATACTGGAGCTGGAAGAAGGGATAGATATTGTGTTGAAATATTATACGATTATCTGAGGTCCGAAAAGTTAAGGAGGACTCGGTAGTCCCTGAATGCGGCAACGGGAAATGCATCCATCTCTACTAACGATGATTTAACCGTTTAAAAAAGATAATATTATCTTCTTCCTAATCCCTTAAAGGTACATGTTCATCAGTTACTGTTTAACTTCTGAATGATGAAGAAAAAAATTAACTAAAGGGGTAATTGTACGTTTTGATATTATAATAATATAGAAAAACCCAAAAACAAATTTTGAACATGAGATTACAAACATTAGACAACCTAGGCAGTCAACGATATATGGACAAAAAAGATTAATAATTTAGAAATACCTATTTTATTTTATTAATTTTTCAGGTGATCAAAATGTACGCGTGGGAAATTCCGTTCCAAAAAGTAGTAGGACAAAAACGTATGGATGAGCTGAAACAAATAAAAATTGCCTCCTTGATAAGGGTTGTATTCAATAGTTTTATGATTTTTACAGAAAGAGCAGCCCTTTTCATAACCATTTTATCGCTTGTTTTGCTTGGAAATGTAATGACTGCTAATGTTGTAAGTATAATTTGTATTTTGTTAATTTTAATTTATAACTTTAAGTTTTATTCAATAAAATAAAGTCTTGACCATCACATCTGTAAACGTTAGGTGTCACTACAAAATGCAAAATATTTATTGTAAAATGTAAGTCATTTTTCTGGTTGGTAATCATAGGTATCTTGGTGTACTATATTTGCTTATGGTCTGTGTAGGTAGGTGATATCGCAGCGCATTTCCTCCTACCGTAATCAGCAGCGCATACTTAATGTACGAGTAAGTATTGTTGCGCGCCACAGTTGATGTCTGGTACATGCAACTAGTGCCATCTAATATTAAATAGAGGAAATAAGCTTTCTAGAAAACTCCACACTCGAATTTATTTATTTGTTTAAAGTCAGTGTAGGTAGGTGATAACGTAGTGCATGTCCACCTACTGTAATCAGCAGCGCATACATAATATACGAGTAAGTATAATCACGATGCAGTCTTCCTGGAGTATTTCGATCAAGGCAAAACGCAGCGAACACGGTATTTAGAAAATTGTCGGACAGATTTAGTAAAAACTTAACCTATGTAAGGCTGAGGCATGTTCACATATGAATCAGGGACACAACGACGAATGCGGTAGACTTTACTTATATTAGACGCAAAGCGTTTGTCGTGTGGTTGTTTTTATTAATAATTCTTGCTGCAAGATGTAAATAAATAAAAAGAGAACAATATGTAGAATTTCATCATTGGTTTAAAAAAATCACACATGCGCTTTCATACATTTATGTATCATACATTTGATGTAGCTACAAAACAACTCAAAATACAGTCAAAAGCAATAGAAGAATTATAAAACTACCAGGTCCCATTGGATGTTTTAACACATATTTTGACCATAGTTAAGAATCTAATTTGGGATCTCGGAGGTAGGTAGTATTGGTATCTATATAGGTCATCAATATCAAATATTTATGGGGACAAAAACTGTTAATAAGCTTCACTTAAACTATAAATTTTGGTTTAATAGCCTAATAATATTTCTTATGTTTCATGAAGTTGTTGTCAGGCAACAATGTAGCTCGTATGTTATTTGTACTACCTTTTTGTTTTATACCTATTAAAATTACCATTTTTTTTAGATATATCCCTTACAACAATTTATGAACTCTGCTCAAATTAATATAACGTTAGTTTTACCGTTAGTATTAACGTTTACTGCTGAGTTATTGGTTTCGTTGAAAAGAGTGGAACAATTCCTTTCGTTGGGTAAGTTTAAATAAATTTGACTGTTATTGTTTTGTATATTAAAATAAGAATATAATTTGCCATATTATGTTGGCGGCATTAGGGAATCCAACACACCATTTCGTCCCGGGAATGATATAAGACGCATCAACGTGAAATTAAAGCAAAAATGTAACATAACTACCTCGCTTACGCCGGGTATAAACTTATATCGATACGGGTCTACACAGGCATTAATTTCTAAGATGCAAGACGTCTGATACTGCGATAGTCCCCACCTGCAAAGCGTGGTGATTAAGGAAAATAAAAGTAGAAAATAACCTCTCTCGTTTTATCATTATACAATGAGATAGAGCCTATAAGTGGACATACGAAATGATGAAGAAAAGTATAAAACATATATTAAATGAAAAGTCATACACACGTTGCTCTGTTTGTTTTTTAACCGTTAGTAGATTTATAAAAGTTTTCAACAATAATTTTAACTTTGCAGAAGACAGACTTGACTTAATTGATGATAAAGCAAGCCCTCAATCAAAATTATATCGGAACGTATCAGATAACTTCGAGGACTTTAAAGGAGCATCCGTTAGGCCTTTATCCTACCAAGCAAAATCGGAATTTTCTATAAGCAATGGTTAGTAGACAATTCTCAGCGTAGTTTAAATATTATTATGGTTAAGATTTTGTAATTTCTTAACACTTATGAAGTAACGGGATAAGAAATATAATAATTTTTATTCCAAATATCACCTTTATACATAGACACACACATCGATATATGGTCGAATTTTATTTACACTAAATTTTTATTTTTTCCGACATCCACTTTGTATATTTTTTGTGAGAAGACACTAGCTCCTGAGATACAGGTTCACCTACATTAGAAGCCAGGAACTTTACATTTATTTATTAAAAGTTATTGGTGAAATAAAACAAAATAAAAATGACAAATATCTCACAGACCGGTGATGGGGAACAGATTGCCTCTGCTGAGAAAGCATAGTATGATTAGAAATTTCAAGAGATGGACTTACTCGTATAATTACGACGAACACAAAGCTGCAATAACGGATACAAAGCTGTAATATTGTCGTCAATTTGTGAATATCAGTTTTAACTAACTAATACTTTAGTAGACCAGGAATAACATTATTTTAAAATAAAAATAATATGCTGCTATAATTAAAAGCTAAATAACTGCGTACTGTAAATGTACATATTACATTTATGTACCTAAACCTTACAATTGTCCTCCAGACAGAATTTCGGTCATGGCTGCAAGTCCGTCTCAACGGAATATCCGAATGTATACAAGAGCACTCTCTATTAAATCAGTTTTATACTCCGTTGGGACGGTAATCCAACACGACCGGAGAGATCTCAGGTATAGGACCGCTCAGCCTTTTTGAGGCAAGGGGGTGAAATCCGCCAACTTCCGGGCTGCTGCTAAGAAAAGCTTTTTGACAGGAAAACCAAATAACTAATTATCTTTATATTAAAATATTAATCTAAAAATAATATTTTTTATAAAATCATAAATTATATAATTAGTTAAAATTTAATCACATTTTTAAAGGTTCTTTACGGTCAGAGAATAAATTTCGAAGGAGTCTCTCGCAACCAAACTGCGATATTGCGGTTGAACTGCGGGACGTTAGTGCCAGCTGGACCGATGACCCCAATTCCTTGGCACTCAAGAACATTACTGTACGCATACGCAAAGGAAAGCTTTGCGCAATCATAGGGGCCGTCGGGTCAGGCAAGGTACAGCCACAAGTTTTTTTATTTTAAATACATAAGTCAATTTAAGTAAAATTACAACTTATATACGTCCTACTGCTGAGCACAGACTTACTCCCTATTCTAAAATAATTATGAATCAGTTATGGATGCTTCTTCTAACGAATTTAATATGTCCTAGAAATACTTATCTTATTCCTTAGAGATGAAGGTTTCACAATATTTTCCTTGACCGCCAAGCGCGTGATTAATGAATAAATAAGAAAAAAAATTGTATTTAGCTTCAAGCAAATTATGCCCATCCAATTAGTCAACGATAATTGTAATTACCGGATGTCAGGGGAAATTTTCGGTGATTCTGAAGACTTTGAAGACCTCTATAGGACGTAATTGTGTGAAAATTTACTTAACCACCGATAGTCGATAGGCGGTGTTACAATTTTAATCTACTCGATACTATAATGTATTTTAAAACTGATACACTCTTTTTCATATAGTCTTCGATCTTGCAACTACTGCTAAAGGAATTACCTGCAGCTACTGGCAGCATGTCAGTGTTTGGGAAAATCTCGTACGCTTGCCAAGAGGCGTGGCTATTTCCGAGTACAGTCAGAGAAAACATTTTGTTCGGTATGCCTTACGACAAGGAGAAATACAATCAAGTACGTATTTGCATTAAAATCCTCCATAACAACAAGGTCATTTAGTAATAAGATATTTCTTTAAAACTAGGTTTACAAATGATACTAGCTATTGTGCAATACGTTATCTTGGTATAACAAGTTATTTTATTCTATCTCTATCTATCTAAAAGAAAAACTGTTTCTTAAGAGTAAAGTTATGGCGAATTTGTTATTATGCATGTATTTTCAGGTATGTAAAGTATGCGCTCTAGAGAAGGATTTCAAACAATTTCCTTACGGCGACCAAACCTTAGTAGGTGAAAGAGGTGTATCCCTCTCAGGTGGTCAGCGTGCCAGAATCAATTTGGCTCGGGCCGTCTATAGAGAGGTACTTAATTGATTTTTATTTGTGCTATAAACTCTATTTTCGATCCATAGATCACTTTACTGTAGATAATTTCATAACCTTTTAACTGGTAACGAGGCCAATTGTAACGAGGCACTCTATCGTAGGCCTCAGGGTGACGACTCATATTTAGCATTTTGATTCTTATGCGGAAATAAGAAGAATGAAGAAGAATTTCATTTATTTAAGCAACCAAGGCTCATATTTTGTTAGTATTACTTATAACTAAACTTAAAACTATGTTAGTAGGCATATTATTATTAATATTATATATATGTGAAATACAAAAAAATACATTTATATTTATATGTGCCATTTTCTCACCAATCCACCCGATATGGCACTACAATGGCATATGTATAGGCAGTCCAGTCTGCTAGCAATCACTTTCAGGATACTATTGTTGCTCCCCGCACCCTGCGCACCAGAGACGCGCACCTCTTGCGCATAGTCGCGTAAAAGCAGTCCACTCGCGCTTCCGCGAACATCCCTTATGCACTACAGAAGCGAGGCAGTCCCTAAATGCGTTGTTGTATTGTACTCGGAGGGCGTTGTAAGCCTTTTGAGTATATCTAGCCCACAGGCTGCACGTGTAAAATGACGTGCAGTAAGCTCTAAATAGGGCTATTTTAACTTCCCTTGAACAGCGTGCTTAAACCTGCGAGCTATCATGTTCGCTCTTACTGACAACGCCCTCCGTTCCCTCTCAATGTCATCATCATCCCTGAGACGAGGAGTCAGAACATGGCCAAGATATTTATACCTAAACGCTCTTTGTAAAATATTACCATTAATTGAAATAGATGGTACTATGTCATGTCTCTTACTCCCGGTCTCAAAGACCATGACGTGGCTCTTTTTTACATTATAAGTCAAACCATGTGTGAGGGCGTAGGCTTCACAAGTCAGAAAGAATAAATGTGAATTTCTATGCGTAGGTATTTGTTGAAATCACGTGTGAAGAGTTTTTTTAAGTAATTTTGTTATTATTGTTAAAAGAAAGCGTAAAGATATCATATTAATCTTTACGTTTTTTTCCTTGATTTTGTTCAAAATTATTTTGGATCCAGAATGAATTTTAATCTAAACTGTTGTAAATAATACTGAAAGTATCTAACAATTAAAGGCAAAATAGCCTTATGTTAAATATAACCCGTAATTAGCCAAATGCATTTCCTAAAACTAGCTTCAGTCGTAATGTTGTCTATGTCTCTATTAAAATAAATACTATAAATTAACTCAATACAACAACACATTTGGGTATATTTAGTTGTAGGTAACAAAATGTCGATTCCTGAATTATAAAACCAACCAACCAAATCTGGCCTATTTTTAAATCTTCAGATAAAAGTATTCCATCAAATAAATAATAACCTGGCTAAGAGTAAATGTGAAATAATTAAACTGCTATATTCATCTAACTGTAAGTTTTAATTTGTTTGGGGTGTATTTTATTGTATGAACAACTTTTATTTATTTTATTTTATTATTTAAGGATTAAAAAATTGTCCCGAAACTGTCTGCACGTGGCAAAGTAATAGTATATAAGGATGTAGTCCTTACAAAGTTGTTTGCAAATGTAAGTTCCTTATCCTATTAAATATCTTAATTATTTATTTCTTTTGAAGGCCGATATTTATTTATTGGACGATCCGCTGTCGGCCGTGGATGCAAATGTGGGGCGTCAGCTTTTCGAAGGCTGCATCAATGGTTATTTACGACAACGCACAAGAATTTTAGTCACTCATCAAATACATTTCCTTAAAGCAGCTGACTACATCATTGTTCTAAATGAGGTTTGTTTTTGCAATCTTTTTCCTAAGGTATTTTCGTTGTTTTTGTATTTCTAGATATTTTTGTGTTCTTTATGAGCATTTTCGGCACAAACATATTTGCTTACATTTCATTGTTTTCAAGGGTGGCATTGAAAATATGGGAACTTTCGATGAGTTGGTATCGTCAGGCAAAGAATTGGCTAATATCATGGCTTCATTACAAGAAGGAAAAGACAAAAACACAGAAAATAACACCTTGGTAAGTGTATAATTTGATTTATGAATTAAACAAAAAAAAATATTCAGTTTTTTATTGAATAATTATACACGAGACAGTTTTCCTAAGTAATATAAAATATACATGTAAAATAATTGGACCGTGCTTTGTGGCATGGCATTCCTTGGGGGAGGATTAGGTTTAGCAATGGACTTGTGAAGGCCTGAAAGGATGACGATGATGACGTAAAATAACATAATATATGAATACACATTACTCCGGCAACTAATACGGCATACAGGTTTACTCACCAATAAACAGATTGTAGTTAGGTTATAATTTTCTTTCTGAAGTATATGCGAGTTAATCTTAACTTTTTTGCAAGAGCTTTTTCATTGACATAATATAATGTTTACGAGACCTATTAAAGCGGTTCCGTTACAAAAATCTTAATGTGTAAATCTTAATGGCTTGAAATATGAAAACATCTTAATAAATGGAAAATTGTTAACTATAAGATTTAACGCTATTTATTTGTTGACCACATCACGATATGGTTTAATGAATTCTATGAATATAATCGTATTGACGGTATTATCAACTAAGCATATCATTGATATTTCATGATATGGTCAAATCGTAAAACTGTTTTATTATTCACTACTAGCAGCGCTTATAGCCCATTTTTAACAGAAACAGAAGCTTTGCATAACAAGTAAAAAATATCTAATATATTCATAGATTAGTAATAAAACCAAAAATCATCTTAATTTTTAAATTGATATTATCTATATAGTCACTATTATGTATTTAAATTAATTTCACAATTAAAAAAAACAGTTAAAATACAATTAGCTAATCATTATTTAATTATTAATTAACTAGTATTGTTAATATGTTTTTTTTATAGAAGAGGGGGCAAACGTGCATATGGTTCACCTGATGTTAAGTGACACCCGCAGCCCATGACCAAACGCAACACCAGGGGAATTGCAGGTGCGTTGTCGGCCCCTTAGAAAGGAGTAAGCTCTTTTCTTGAAGGTCCCCAGATCATATCGGTCCGGAAAAATCGCCGGTGGTAAATTATTCCACAGATAGGTCATACACGGAAGAAAGCGTGTCTTCTGAGGGTTAAACTGGACTAGATTTAGTCGCCCCCAATCCGAGACTTTGTTCAGCAAAGACTCGACTGCAGACACAAGTTTGTCCCGGTACTCGGAGATGTTTTCCCGAGAAATATTGGCACGCCCGGTGTACAGAGCATCACCAGTGCTGTCATCTGCATAGCAATGAATGTTACCGGTTTGCAACATATCATTGATATGCAGAAGAAACAGCGTTGGTGATAGCACGCAGCCTTGTGGAACACCAGCATTAATATGCTTGTAATCGGAGCTTGCATCGTCTACAACAAACTTGATGCAACGATCTGCAAGAAAGCTGGTGATACAATTGCACAATTTCTCGGTAATACCATACGAAGGGAGTTTCGAAAGAAGCGCTTTGTGCCAAACCCGATCGAAGGCCGTCGCAATGTCCAAACTAACGGCCAATGCCTCACCTAATTTTGTTTACAATGGATTTCCATTGTTTTGGAGAACAAGGAGGTGATGACGAAGAGCCTGCAGTTGGACGGGTCTGAGCGGTCGCCTCTTTTAGGGATCGGGTAGACGAAAGCCGTCTTCCATGATTTTGGGACTACGGCTAGAGAGTAGGAGTACCGGAAAAGACGTGAAAAGACGCGTTAATGTGCTATGAATTCTACTAATTTATACTAATGACGCATTGTTGTGTGTAGTTATAATATTTTTAATAATCTTAAATAATATACATACATACTAGAGCAGTGCGGCAAATAAAAGAAAGCCTATGTCTAGCTACGGGACGTAATATAGGCCGTAACTTTACTTTTTTTTAAATACAGATTATAATAAAATCATCATAAACATATAAATAATATAAGAATTTAATGGTTTTAAAAATACGTTTAATGTATTTAGTATTTTTTACTTTGCCTTAACTTAATCAATAGGTGGTTTTACCCGTATTTTAAATCATCCAAATTTTCCTCTTGAACTCAATGTATATTGACAAAATGTGTATGATTCTACATGAATGGTATTTACCGTATAACCGATATTTTGTGTAATATAAGTGGCAAACTTTCTTTAATATATTCAAATAGAAAACGAGAGTGAACTAACCGACAACGAATTGTTTATGTTTCATCGGGAGCAACAGTCATTGCCTTTCCCAAAACCATCCATATGATGATCAATATTTTTTACGATTTACTTATAAAGTCCAATATGTAATGTTTTAAAGGAATAATGATTTAACAAGAAGTGTTCAGCGTGGCTCTATAAGTCATTAAAATTAAATCTACGAGTATTATGCGAAATTGATGCATTTTTTCTAATGTGCACCGAACCAGTTTTATCTTTTTGATGATTAGATTATCAGCGTTTATTGGGAAGATTTTATTACTATTTTAATTTTTAAGTAATTGCCAAAACAAGTAATTGATAATAACTTCAATCTAAATTTGCTGTAGCAAAAACTTAAACTTCTTATGTACTTACCGATTCTTTGTTATATTAATGATGTTATTTACTTATGCACAAATTTAAAGTGCGAGTAAAACATTCCTATTATAAAAGGATAGTACCTGGATGACCGAGCTCTGCACGGTTTTTTTAAATCGTGTTTTGGAAACTATATTTAGATACAAATTACATACTGAAGAAAGATAAATAATATTTTTTGATCTTAATTACATAATAGAAAAAACAGAACTGGTTATTTGAATAAAAAATCATGAGTGCAATCAGTTTAATTTAAATTCTCACAAAAGAAGGGAACTTGAAAAAAAAAAGGAGAAAAAAGTCGGACCGTACACGGGACGCGAACCAGGGCACTACGATTTCGCGACGGCCCGATATCCACTTGAGCTATTACGATCATTACCACGGTGTCAAAATTTACCTTCTTATATTGTAGCAGTTTTTTATTGCCCGAAAAGACGGACAAAACGACATTTTTTATAAATGAATGATCTAGCTAGGAGCTAGATCGATTTATTGCCACCGAAACTCCCAGGATACTAAATTTTATGAAAATCGTTGGAGCCGTTTCCGAGATTCCGATTTTATATATATATATATATATACACAAGAATTGCTCGTTTAAAGGTATAGGATTCATACATTAATTGATACGTAGCCATATAAAATATTTTATGAGTATTTAATTTTAATAATTATTTTATGAGTGAGTATTTTAGGAGTTTTAGGAGACATTCAAGGAATATTTTTTAAGCTGTGTGTTGTTCTATTTGTTAATTTTATATATTTCAGAAAGCTGAAGAAAAAGAGAAGGCAGGTTTAAAGAAGTCTGTATCTATCAGTGAACCCGAAGAGCTAGAACAATTTGAGGAGCAAAAGATGACTGTCGAAGAAAGACAATCGGGAAATCTTCGTTGGGAAGTTATTTCTACTTACTTTAAGTCCGGTGGCAGCTTCTTTTTAGTATCGTTCACTTTCTTAATACTCGCTATGACCTCTACATCAGCAGCTGCTGTAGATTATTGGGTCAGTTTCTGGTGAGTTAATAAAGTATTACTAATACGCATCATGTTATTTTATAAGATCATAGCAATTATCAACGTAGAAGAACTGTAAAAGTTAGCTAAAGTATTTTTTTCTAGAACTAAAACTATTACATATTCCACCTGATGGTATGTAAATAATGTGATCCAATGTTGTGTGTTTTAAAATCCAAGCAAATGCTATATGCAGATGTGTACTGTCCAGAGTTATCCCAGGAATAAATGCGCGTAACGTTTGTATGACATCATTTTTAATTTACAAAAACATCACCATATTTTTCAATATTATTCACAGCAAAATGGTTCACGGAAGAAATACTCTTTCTGAAAGTTTAATTCAGAATTCTCTTTGTTATTGTTTCAATATTTATCAAACAAATGATTTGGGTCTTCACTTTCATATCTTAAGGATCATCGTCATCATCATTAACAGCCCTTCACAAGAATTTAACTTCAACAACAATTCGCAAAGAATTCCACTAAGGATGGTCCAGAGCTATCTCATGGACAAATGTGAGCAACGTATTTCACAAAATTTCTTACGAACTCTTTCAAACGTCCAGGCTACAATGCTCTGGAACTATTTGCCTACATATCAGAAAAGCGTCTAGTAAAATACCCTAATAAATTATTCTGCTACTTAACACTGGTATACTGTAAAAGCGTAGTGTCATTTTCATCGTCATTCAATTTTATTTTGAGAGTAATTGTAATGTTGCCAATTTTAAACTTTTTCTTTTAGGTCCAACCAAATGGCAAAGTATGAAGAAGAAACAGGCACTGCAAATATGGGTTAGTATTACGTATACGTTTATTAACATAGTTGCAGACATTTCCACTTTAAATAAATCGTATTGTATAAAGTATATCTAATGTATTATGTCGTCAGCAAATATTATGATCCGACATTATACAAATGGCTTCGTCTGTTTGCAAATGCTCGCTAGTTTGTGAAATGCCGAAAGCAAATTTTCAAAAAAGTTACATGAAAATGCCATAGAGCAACAGAGGAGTGTCGTCGGCCCGTATTGATTTATGGGAAATGCAAATTAAAACGTAGTGTTTCTATACTCTTTGCGCCAATACCTAGCGATTCTTACAATTAGGCCGTTTTAAATTTACTTTCAACCCGTGGTAGAATTTGGCCGTTATTATATAAACTACATTTTTTCCTGCGGCTTCGCTCGTGTGGGATTGAATTTAGAAACATCGATAATACTATTTTGTACTAAAATTAGCAAAACTGGATCACTTGTAGAGCCACGTCGGTATCTGTATCTATATTGCCAATATAGGCTACAGAAACACATATTAAGTTAGTTGTGTATATCATACGTTAAGCAACACTTTTTATATCGGGCTTCCATCTTTATTTACGAAAAATTGTCCTGGAATCTATGGAAAATAATATATGTTTATATTTATAGACCATAAATAAATTGGAGTAGATATTTAAAGGGAAAGCTTTGTAAAGTCAGCCGTGCACAAATTTCTGTTTTTTATTAATATGTGTATATGGCTCTCACGATACAAGTCTACATGCCTAGTGTGAGAACCACTGCTAAATTATTTGTAAAGGTGCTAACTGTTAAATAAAGTATTTTTCATTTTTTTTCATTTTCATTTTCAATCAGAAACGCGTTATTTACATAATATTCAGCATTAAAGTTGATATAGTCTTGATAAAACAAGGTGTAATTTCATGGTCTTTATTAATATTGGTCCCATTGAATATTGATTAGTACCAACCACTTCCAGTAGTTTTTTACGGTCGAGTAGACTACAAAATTTCATATTCACGAAGAACGTGTGAGAAGTATTAAATTCATGAACAGCAGTAGAAATCTACATAAAATGAGCTACAGCGTCTTCCTGATCATAGCTCAAAATATTAAATGACACTATGGCAAACATCCAATTTTATTAACTAGAAATCCAATTGATGAACGGGAGTAGAAATAATATATTAGCAATGTAGAGGTGGCAAAAAAGAAACCACTACCCCATTTCATCCCGTGGGTGTCTTAAGAGGCGACAGAGGGAAACTGAAACTGGAGATGGGTAGCATCTTCTTGATAACAGCTCAAAGTAATAAAAAGCGGCGGTTGCCAACCCGCTTGCAAAGCGTAAATATAACTGCAAATACCCGGTCTATTTGTCATACAATGGGGGAAGCCTATAATCAGCAGTGAAAAGCCCTAAAGTAGGAGCCTAAATATATCTCACTACTGGGCACAGGCCACAGCGAGTTTTAGGTCAAAAAGGAGTTGATTAAGTTGAATCCAACGCTGGATGACCGATTTCACATACCTATACCTAAAAATGATTTCCGAAATATTTTTTTAACATCTCAGATATGCAGATTTCCTGCGATGTTTTTCTTCACCACCGAGAACGTGGTAAATCAAAACTTCAAATTGTAGTTAAAATATGAGTGGAGTCCGCGCGGATCTAATTTGAGTTTCTTACGTACTAACTATGAAGTTTGCGTTTAGATCGGTTTGATTACCGGTTTATACAGATGACTTTCAAGATTATATCAATTCAGTTCTACTCATAGTTAAAATAAAAATAAACCCGTGTTTAAATTTTGCTTTTTTTAATATTTATAGTACTTTTTCAAAAGATCTTGTTCATTTACTCATGAGAGCTATGCAACCGGGACTGTCACAAATGTTTTAATAGTTATGTCTGAAAATATGAAAGCTATCTTAATATATGACAAACTGCTGTATAAATCTCATTAAAAGTAAAAAGGCTGCATCAACGGTATCACGAACTATTCCACTAATTATGGATATAAATCTCATAAAGCACTTAATTTTCAATTACTTATATCGGCCTTGATACAAAAAGTAATTGGTGAAATATTACTACGCCGATAGATACAACATATTCAACTAAAGACCTTCTATCTTAATCAAAGTTTTGTATACACAGTTTTCTTAGTAATTTTGCTAAAATTGACAATTATGACGAAACATGCAGACAGTGGACACAGGTTTATACCGGTCTGACAAATTTAGATGCTGCAACAGGAAGTACATATTTAACAGGATTGTATCTAATTTGAACCGTTATGTACTTATTATTAGTTTATTTATCGGTAAGTAGATGGCGCTATTATTGTATTAAAACTATGACAACCAAAACTTTACCCTCTATTACTCAGACTCAATAAGTTGAGGTGCGACTGGAGTGGCTCCATCACAACTAACCAAGACGCTAACGTTTATATAATACATAAATTTGGCATAAATTCTGCATTTATCAAATATACGCAATCAGCGCCGACTGCGGCGTGTAATGAAATTATTTTACGATTTAACAATAACATCTAGAAATAACAATGTCATATTTAATTGCTATTCATTGATTTGGTCAAGCTATATCGTGATATAGTCAACAAACACTGTTAAACTTTATGAAATACCGCCATTTCGCTTTCAATAATCGATTAATTTATGATATTATAAATTCTTAGATCTGAACCAAACATATAAAAAAAACTCTCTTTATTTAAACTATAAGGATAATAAGAGTTTTATACATACTAATTACAATTTTTATCAGTTCATTTATACATAAAAACTAATATGTACTAAAACTTTTCATTCCTTAATTTTATGATTTTTGATAGATGTCACTAATATCAATTTAAGTAGTAATTAGTTATTACAAAATTTATTTATATCTACTAAAATGAAATAACAAAAACTAAAAAATGTACATTAAAATTTTCAAATCAATTACAAATTTAATTGAATAACTTTGAAATGGCAAATGAGGCAAAATGTCTCAACCTTTTGTTAGACGTTAGATGGCACTGTCTTGAAAAAGTGAATACAACAATAATATCATAGATTGTCGGCGTAGTTCAATTTATTACACAATGGTCAAAACTTATTTTGGACTTTATTTATAAACATTTTGTTTATTTTATTAAAACACATCAATCGTATAAAATAGAAATAAACGTCTAAAGGAAGGAAAGTACTTAACCCTTTTTTTTAAGTTCCGGAATCGGATAAAAAGTAGTCTTTAAGTAGCCCCGGGTCCCTAACTACCTAAACACAAAATTTCATGGAAATCTGTTTAATAGATTTTGCATGAATCTTTCACAGACAGACAGACAAAAATTCTAAAAACAGTGGTTTTTAGAATTTTTGTCTGTCTGTCTGTCCTGTTTTGACCAAAAAGGCATTGCAACGCATGCAGCTAGTAAAAAGTAAAGACAACGTTGTTAATAGTCTATCGATCAATAATGTATTGTTAATCGAAGCTAAGATCCGTAGTAAGATCGACCTTCACCAACCTGTTAACCGGATGCATTATTTTTATCAAATTTGGCTTCAGTGCTCTTTATTTAGTCGTGTGGACTTGTGTTTTCCAGAAAATATTAGATTTACAGACACGACTTTTCTACAGATTTATTATATGTATAGACTATGATTTTTATTAACTTTGTCAAAAACACGAGATTACCTATTACTATCAAGTAATCGTAATGCAACTGCTGGCATGGGACTTGGGCCACCTCAAAGCTGCGAACATTTGTGTAATAATGTTATACAACCGTTCATTCAACATTATACAAACCAGTTAGCAAACTGACCACGCCAAATCTGCCGACGACGTATACTCATACATAAATTGAACGTTTCTTTGTTTGTTCCGCATACGTTCTTAAATCATTCATCCGATTACAATGCCACTTTTGTGAATTGTTGTGCGCAAATGATTTTGACCAAAAAGGCATTACAACGCATGCAGCTAGTAAAAAGTAAAGACAACGTTGTTAATAGTCTATCGATCAATAATGTATTGTTAATCGAAGCTAAGATCCGTAGTAAGATCGACCTTCACCAACCTGTTAACCGGATGCATTATTTTTATCAAATAAAATATGTTTCTAAACACATATCAACAGGGTTGCCTAAGAATATGTTCGTGGCTATAACTAAGTTAAATTTTTCTAAATTATTTTTCTCAAATTTCACCGAAGTTCCAACGAAAAGCATGCAACATAGATAATATGCAATAGTTCGGTTGCCTTGCCTACCTTTTTCTGGTCCCTAATACCTGGTTGTTGTGTATTATAATAAACAAGTAAGATGATATTAGTAAATGCACTCCTCTGTTAACCACTTGACAGATATATTAATATTAAGGCAATTTTATTCCGAATATAGTGGTACACGGTTGATTACGAAAAGCCGATCATAAATTACGATTGACAGGCTTTTATATTAAAAAATTAAAACAAGCCAAGATGCGTGACAGAGAAGCATTGCGCTATAAAGCGCGTGTTAGCAAGTTAGAACTGTAAACACGAGTTAGAACAGTGACGATATGGTAAGGGCGACGTTATTAGTTACAAAAGGCCACGCACGTAAACTATATCATCTCGGCGTTATTCATTTGAATTTTAAGTTACCATGGTAAAATGTGCAGTGCCAAGCTGCAAAAACGATTCACGGAAGCAAACTAAGAAGAACAATGATATTTATTTTCATTAAATGTAATATTTCGGTAATAAAACATAGATATTATTATTTAGGGCGTCAAACAGTGTAGCGGGAGACGCGCTGCAGTTATAGCGCACATGCATCGCTAAAACAAAAGAAATACGCACTATTTATATCAATTTAATGTGGACGAACGCAACTGATCATCATTGTGTAAAATTATGCCCTGAAAATTGCGGTTGATTTCTCGATGTTCATTTGAAACCAGCAGGATTCGATGAAAAAGGGAATGATGAGTGAGGCTCTTTTCACTCCAAAATACTTTTTAATGGTATACTAGTACTGACCTTTTCTATAGTATAAGCAGAAAACATGCGCACACAACTGAGCACGCGCAAACTACTTAATGCAGTAAATTCTCAGTCACGTATCTTCGCTTGCTCCAATCTTTTGATTTGTAAATAATGAACGGTTTTTTGTAAGCAACTCAGTACCGTACAGTGTATTTGGAATGAAATTACCTTCATATTGCTATATCTGTCAAGTGGGTAACAGATGAGTGCAATTACAAAATCAACTTTCCAACCCAACTATTGCATATTGTGTACATATGTTGTACTTGTATGCGTTCATTTGGCAAGCAAAAGGTGAAATTTGAGAAAAAAAATATAAAAAATTTAATTATTCATAGCCATGAAAATATGTTTTGGGAACCCTATTGATATTTGATAAAAAGTACTTTACGCCCGGTTAACAAATGGGTGAAGGTCGATTTTACTTCGGATCATCTACTATAACATTTACAAATTAATTGCTAGTTTTCATTGTGGTTGAAATTTATCGGAGTATTTTATTTTCTGTATGAAAATTGATCTAATGTTGTTTTTTGAAATTTATAATAATACGATTTAATAATTTTGATATACTTTTAATTTTCATTGCGATAATAAAAAATAAACCTAAAATTATTATATAGTCATAGACCCTATGGTACAGTGCCAAGAATACTGGCGGCATTTCCTCGCTGAATGGCTATTAGTTGCGAATACTGTTACTTTGAGAAATTCACTGAAAAATTAACTCACAAACTGCCACTGAGTAAAAAGAGGACATGATGAAAAATTCTGAGTCGATCGGTGTAGGTGGATCGGTGTTGTGCCTTGCGGCAATCTTTGGAGGAAGCTAATGTTCAGAATTTTGGGGTTATGTTGGGCTGTTCTGACGATGCTGATGATTATGAGTTGATTAGGTGGCGAAATAAGAGAGTTCATTATCCCATGGGTATCGTAAGCGACTCGGAGGAATAACCTGTCGATCGTATGGCCTGCGATAGTTGGCGATGTTTCGAATCTGACAATCGACTCCTGTACTGAACCACTCCTAACACAAGCATTTTTAACTTGTCAGTAGTGGTTTAAGGGACTATTAATAAGGGTAATAACATTGCTAGTATTAAAAATATTTTTAGTAGAATTATAATTTATGATTTTCTATTTATAAGTAGTAGGGCTACGCTGCAGCTTATTGCATTGCAGATATTGTGGTTGTAGCACGAAAGGGTCGGCTCGGCCGGGGAAGGACCATGGCCTCATATAATACCAGCGTACAATAGCAGTTTGATGCTGCTGTGTTTCGTATGGTGAGTGTAGAGAACCGTAGACCCGATTTACTGGAATCGAGGCATTCCATCTTAGTCCTCAGGGGAGACAACGCATCTGCATTTTGATTCTTAATTAAGGTTTAATGTCTACGGGTCACAGCATAAACTTACAATCAGGTGGACTGTGTGCTCTTTTGTCACCATAATTCTACAAAAAAAAATATTTTTAAATAAGTATGATCATTACAACTATTACTTAATTATTTTCCAGAACCGGGTTTGGACGTACAAGTGGGTCCCTTTACGACTGGACAGTATCTGATCATCCACGGATGTATGATTGTAGCGGTTATCATAATTACAAACTGTCGAGCTATACCTTTTGCACAACTATGTGTCAACGCTTCTAAAAAGCTACATGACCTAATGTTCTCAACAATGATTAAGGGCATTATGCGATTCTTCGATACTAGTTCTTCAGGTAAATGCCAATTTCGATAGTTATATATATAGTCGATAATAAACAAAATATTTGTTTAAAGTATTTTATACGACGTAAATTTAAAATACCTTAGACGTCACCGTAATTGGCTTAAACCATATGATTTCATGTTCATTGTATTCATGTAAGATGGTCTAACAGGTTTCCTAATAGATCGCGAGATGCCTATCCCACGATGACGCGTTCCGCCAAACGGTGCGTTACAACTCAAAAATCTATAAATTTTTGAATTGAAATTTTGTACACGTATTCCTGAATACTTATGCTATTACATAATTAAAACATTACCACTTAAAAAACTTTATTAATTTAGTAAAAATATGACACAACTATTTTCTTTATTTTTCAAACAAAAATGAAAATAAATTAAGGTTAATATAGTTCTCACAGGAATGGTAAAACCAATACTTATTATAATTATCACAAAAATAAGAAGTAAGCAACATCGTTATATAATCACCGCAAAAAATCTTTTGATAATATTGTTCCAAATATTAAATAATACCTATAATATTTCGAGCTTATTTGTGACATAAACAGTATTTTATTGTAAACAAACAATTACAACTATTTGATCGCATCCACTAATGTGATAAATAAGTGAAAATTATGAGAAACGTCAATTTATTTTTTCCCTAGATCGTTTTTTACATTTTTGCTTCGTCGGCTATCGGTAACTAGGAACCTCAATTTGAAAATCGAAAGGACGGAAATAAAAATTAAATTAAAAAAAATATTTTAACATACAGTAATTGTAAATAAGAGATCTTGGATAATCCAAAAATGTATAATATTATTTCCTTGAAGAACTTAGGAAATATCTTAAAATGAACTTCCATATTGAATAATCTAATTACCTAATATGAAATTATCGAAGTGTAAAGTTTGGGTGTAATTTTATATACCTAAAGCTCATTATTATTATGTTTTACTATTATATCAGATAAAGCTATCTTCTCAGAATATAAAACTATCAAAATGGTTTCAGTAACAAGACTTCTCCCTAAACCATTTTTGAGATGGAACACGCCGTTTCGTCTTATAGTAAGGCGCCATTTCAAGAATGGCTATTTACTGAGATGCAGAGTTATTTTGTTATCTTAGATCTCTTCAAAAGTGACAATGTCCTATCAACCCACCTACTCTCTCTATTTAAAATTGGCTCTGGGTATTGCTTATAAAAACTTAACCAAAAATTAAAACATATTTAATATAAAGCTTAATTCAGAATATTTTTTATAGAATATACTTATGGTTATTAAATATCAATTAATTTTTCCGATTTTATAAGCTGTATAGTTAGTTTTTAATGGCTTTTCGAATTTTTGCTAATGATGGCATCATAGAGAGGGCTAAAGCTGAAGAGTTCGCCTACCTACCTGAGTATAGATTATTATATATGTACTAGCTGCCCAGGTAGACGATGTTCTGCTCTTTCCGACGACCCTATGTCCTATAAAAAGCCTTAAATACGCAATAAAAATATTAAGGGTCACTCATCGGGAGAGAAACTATCCTATCTCTCGAAGACCAAACTGCACACAGTCGCGGACGAACAATGTGACACGTAACTTTTATATATAAATATAGTTTTATCACTGATTTTTTTCTATATTTACAAAAGATAATTTACATTTTGATGACGCTTAATCTGTTAACAGTTGTGTCGCATAGTTTTCCTGTTTCGTTTTGACATTTATTTTGTAATTATTTTTCCATTTTAAATCATAATATGGCAAATTATATTCATTAATACGTAAAATTAGGGGTATAATAATTACGTTATCGTTCAAGTATGTATAATAAATTTTGAAAATCAACGCCATGCAACTATTTGAAGCTTCGAATTTTTTTAATTAAAATGTCCTATTTCGTCAAGTTTAAAAAAACTTCGCCATAAAAACTGTAAAATCTTCACATAAAAAATCTTTAGCAATTTTTTTTGACGCCGTGATACCCAATTATGTCATATTGGCTAAAAATAAGTGCACTCTAAAAGCTTATTCTAATAAAAAAACATTTTTTTCAGGCCGGATCCTCAATCGTTTTACGAAAGATATTGGTGCAGTCGATGAAATACTACCAAGAACTTTGTTTGATGTTCTTCAAATCTATGGAACTTTGGCCGCTATTCTTGTGCTAAATGCTATAGCACTATACTGGACATTGATACCATCAGTCGTATTATTAACCTTATTCGTGCTTTTCGTAAGGTCGTATATAAAAGCCGCTCAAGGGATTAAACGACTTGAGAGTATTAGTAAGTGTTATTATTTACTAATAAACTTAAAATATGTTACAAAACACTACTGTGCTTTGTAACATATTTTAAGGAAATACATAAATTTCCTTAACATCGTGTTTTTAAGTTATTTTAGTTATTTATTTCAAAATATTATAAGCCAGTGCTTGACTGCCATCTTACTTGATCGTAAGTGGCGATGTAGCCGAAAATAGTAAAGCGCACTGGCTTAGTTTAACAAAAGCCTTGTGCACTCTTATCTTGAAGACATTCGTATTGTAGTTGGGTGGGAAACAAAGTCTAGCAAATTATTCCACGCCATTCATCTAACCGTTTGGTTCAATGGCATGGCATATTGCAAACAAAGGGTTAGAGACTGGTCGAGCACCTGGTTGTCCAATGGTGGAAGGGAGAAGAAGAAATTAAATAAAATAATATACCGAAGACTATAGAACGCTGTTCTAGTTTCTAGTTCTAAGTGTATATTTTGCGCATGTTTTCGAGGTTGGTGAGATTGGCTTTAGGCAAGGTCACTTGATAAGCCTCTCAGCCAATTTATGGAGTTCAAAGCGGCTTGTAGCATTGACACCGTCCTATATCTGTTAGCAGTAGTCCATGCGCGATCTGTCTTGCGCTTTAACTAGATTAGGCAACTGTCCCCGCATAAAGTAACGCCGTGCCTAGGCAAGGACGGCTAACAGTTTCTTGCAGCTTTGTTTGGTCCTGGACTCAAAAAACTGCTTTAAGCTTTAGGATTGAATAAGAATAAGAAATATTAACACCAACAACTGAAATCGATTGGTGGATTCTAATGATTAATCTCGGGAAAATGAAGCTAAAGTGAGCTGGTTCCTAATGGCGGTAAGTAGACATGTTTTAGAGACAACGAATCTCGTCATCATCAACGAAATCGAAATCGTTGGGCGATGCCAATCTTGCGAGATTCGGAAACTAATTTTACGGATTTTATCGCATTTAATTTTAACTTTTTTAATATCCGATGTTTCGGCCACTTTCCAGCGCCCATAGGCACGTGGGGCGGAGGAGGGGGAGGGGGGATAATTAGATCTTTGAAGATGAAAAAAACAAATAACCGACATAGTATATTCTATGTCTGATACAACATATTATTCAAAAGTGTTTAATAATACATAATATAAACATTTTAAGCACACTTACACACGAACATGTTACACAAAATCAACTTAAATCATTTATAACACCAAGCCATACTCATACATAAACGGAAACATTTAAGAAAGTCATATGCTGGAATAAGAAAGGTAATTATCCCACATTCTCTTGACAGTGTTTTCTAAACGGTGGAGTTATTTATTTCCCTTTTGGCCTCAGCGGCCATTAAAAATAGTCCTTAAATCCTCATCCCATGGTTTTGGTTGGTCGACCATGTCAAACTTAGATCTTCCAACTGGGGTCATGAAGTGGTAAAGCTGAAATACGAGCGCAAGGCGTTAACGACTAATTCTCAAATAAATTGTACGTAACGAAAATGTTCTATCGAAGTTGTTGTAACGAAATTGTAAATAAATAACGAAAATGTATTTATTAAGCTACATTTACATTTTATATATAGTTTTATCACTTGAAAACGGTTTGCCGATTTGGATGAATTTTTGTTCGCTATTGTTAGGACAAGGATTGTATGAAAAAAAAAACTTCATAATCGCCCATACGAATGCAGTTATTGACTTACCATCATTTATTATTATAATACTTTGTCTAATCAGGCATCTCTTTTAATTGAATATAAAATACAATCACACGTTCTTAAAACATTATAAAACTTAACTCAGTTCAAGTTCAAAATGAAAATAACCAAAATTAAATCTAATTTACTTTTTGTCGATTTAATCAAAATATGTATAATCTTCACTATTCATTAATTTAAATTCGTTGGGTTTTTCCTGTTTTTGAAGCTGTATTTCTTTAACAATTGAAACATAAGGAACAATGTCTCTATCCGTACGTTTCGGTACAATAAATTTCAAATTTTCTTTCCTGCTGACAGTTTTATAAAAAAATATTGTGTACATGTTTGTATCAAATCGATGTGTTTTATGACTCCAATATAGTATTTCCAATATTTTTTTTTCATAATATCGGATTAAAACTGTTTCGCCGATGAATAGTTCTCCAACCACTCTGTCTTTCACTGGTTGACCTATTTCGACACCTAAATTATTCTCAGTTCGATGTTGTAAAGCTTCGCTATTACAATTTTCTTCCCTTATCAATGTTGACAAATTCAAGGTTCTCTGTAATTGCATCTTCATCTTCCATTTTAAATGCTTTTGCTAACTTTTCTTTTTCAATTTTTTTCTGACTTTCTTTTCGATTGTTTCTTATTAGTTTCTCTTTCAGTTTCAGATTTTTGACTTTCTTTCCGATTGTTTCTTATTAGCTCTACTTCATCCAAATTCTGCAACAACATATTATTTCTATGATCCTGTGGTATTTTTTGCACCTCTGGGCCGATTGTGTGCAGTTGCACCTTGGTGACTCCATACTCCACTTGTAAATTATCATCTTGATAAGAACTGTGATCCTCATTCACTACATCAACTAGTTCGGAATCACTGTAAATACTAGTATTGGTTTCAACAGATGTTGATGAATTGCTTAAAGATCTCGTCGACCTTTTTATGCGTTTGATTCTTTCGTTTTCTTTTGTCAATTTCATTACGCCTTTTCGGCAGATTTTGTCTATTTTGTGTTGTTAAGAGTTCAGATTTCTGACGTAAGTCATGGCCCGTAGAAATATCAAAATCTTTGTTGATAGATTTTAGTTGCAACGGCAATAAGGGAAGATTTTTGGGTGTAAGTTTGACTGAAGATAATATAGTAATCTTTTTCTTACTGTTACTTTTGGTACGATCGTCTGCTGATAGTGACGAGCTTGACTGTGTATTTTCTTCTCTTTTCTGTTTAAGTCTCATGTTTTGTCCATGAGCTACATGCTGGTCAAGTTTCCTCTTTATTGCTCCTCCAACACCGTCAGCAGGGCCTTTTCCGTGTGATGCTTCGAAAAAGTTCCATGTTCCTTGCTCATATCCGTAATCAGAAAGCCTTTTTGTAAATAGATAGAAATTGTGTTTTTGCCTGTATTGTGTAGTTGGACCATCACTGAATATATGAATTTTCTTAATGTTCGTGTTGTTTTTGCAATACTCCTAGATCCATACAATACAATCTAGATTCGCAAATAGCGCCTAGTCCATGTTCATTCACTGGTGGGATTGAGCAAATTGGTATAGGCTTTTTATCTTTTTCATATAAAACACAGGTATGTAGTGTGATTTGGTTTCGTGATGCGCCAAAATGCACTGCTTGTATTTCTTCGGATTGCTTACAGGCATGATTTTCTGAAAAATCGCATACTATAGCAACTTCGTCCGGTTTAAGATTTTCAATACATTTCTTGTATGCTTTGTGTTGATGTATTATATTGTAATGATGGGTTTTAAATTTATGTAAATCTCCCAGAAATTGTTCAGTAAGTGTTTGAACGGTCCCGTTAACAATTTCCTTTCTATATTTCTTTGTTGTTTTTTCTTCTATTTTATTCTTATTTACGACTGAGTATACATGTGATCTCAACCGCCACTCTAACCACTGCGCTGGGGCATCACCTTTGATCTCTGAATTTATATCTGGCGTTTTATTGACACAAATAGGGCATTTCGAATACATACAATCAAAACATTCCCTGCAGGTAATTGTACGTATCAATTCATTAATAATAGAGCACATCTAGTGTTTGAGCTTTGTTGCTTTGAAACCAATGTTGGCATGCTTAATACATGCACAAGTATTTCTATCTTTAACTTTAGGTGAAACCACATAAAATGGTCGATAGCGAGCAAATATCGTGTAGAGTGCCCTACTTCCTTCAGCTCTATATTTGGTATGTAGTCTTTGCATTGTATCCACCAGGTATCTTAGTTGTTTCTTTTCTTTATTTTTTGTTTTGCATTCTTGTTTTCTTGCTTTTGGTCGACTTATATCATCCCTGTTAAAAAATCTTTGAATCTCCCTCATGTATTTGCCCCTGATAATTTTAGTCGATTCTGTCATCCTTAATTTGCCTGTAAGTCCAAGACTGTGTGACATTTTTGCTTTTACTTTATATTTTTTTATTGTCGTTCCAAGAGCTACTTGTTTAAGGACTCTTTTCTTTTCTCGTGTATCAGCTTTTTTGTATTGTGCTTTTAATGAGTCCGTCAATGTGTTCAGTACTAGGAGTTTCTTTTTTACTTTCTCTTTTTCTTCTTTAGAGATTGATGGTATTTCATCTAAAAACTTATTCGTTTTTGTCAGAGTTTCTTTGGTAGGAGTGACAACCTCAGGTTTGTCAACTGTTGTAGTTGTCTGTACTAGATGCGGCTGGGATACTATTTGTTGTTTCAGATCTGCTATTTCGGCTTTGTAACGGTACAGCTGTCTCTTCAAATTTTTATTTTTTCTTTTTAACTCTTTATTTTCTGCTTTTAGTTCTTGTATTTTATCTTTTGTCTGCTTTTTAGTGACGTTTTCGAGTTTTTGTATTTTATCTTTTGTCTGCTTTTTAGTAACGTTTTCAGAAATAAATTGAGCTACATACGCGACGTTGGTAGATATTTTGGATTCTCTTCTATTATTTTGCTTTGCTCTTCTATCGTTTGCCTCTTTCCATTTTTTGCGCCGAAGGTTTCGCTCTTCTTCTGTTGATTCTGCAATATTTTTTGTATTTTTTTTCACTTTTTCAAGATGTTTAATCCTAAGTTCTTCATGTCTCTCCGATTTTGGGTTTTCAAACGGTCCCATAACGCTTTTGCCTTTCGGAGTTGGTAAGTGGCATGTCCGCAACAAAAGTAAACTTTAAAAGACGTCCAGATATTAATTATTATACCATCTATTATAATGTAAAGTAATAAGCCACCGTGGGTGTGAGGCAAACACATTTTTTTACTATAATATTTGTGTGTACAACAATTTATAGTTAGTGAGGAAATTGGAGACAAACACAAGCCAAAAACATCTTACTATCGTTATTCTAATGTGCATGCAGCTTTATAGAAAACAATTTCGTTATGTAACGAAATGTAACTAAGTTATACGCAAAAACTAACTTCAAAAATGTTTTTCATGACAACAAAATAATCTGTAGCACGAAATCAATATAATAAATTAAATTATTATTAATAAAATTATTAAGGATGTGATTTTTTTGGTTTTTTTCCCTTATAAAAAATGGACAAGGGCAGGGGGGGGTGAAATAATATAAAATATAATTATGAAAAAAAATGAAAAAAAAAATTTAAAAATAATGTATTAAAAAAAGAGTGAGTAAAAATAAAAAAGGTTTTCAGGGTTTTATTAAACTAACTCTGGGCGTTTATTATATACAATAGAGCTAATGCACTATCTATTCTGAAATAATAAGAATATCTTCTGATAGATGAAATATAACATTTCAAAAATAAACAAGAAAATATATTTATTTTTTAAATATAAAAATTGCGACAAGCTTTTTTTCTCGAATTTACAATTTATTTGAGAATTACTCTAATAACCTTTGCGTTTACTAGTCAATCTGTTCAACGTTTTGTATATTTTTTACGCCCAGTAAAAAGGGAAAGGAGGTTTGTTTATCAATAATAAATTGTTATTTACAGCAAAAAGTCCCGTTTTCGGTATGGTCACGTCATCATTGAGTGGTATTGCAACTATCCGATGCTGTGATGCACAAAACCGGCTCATTGATGATTTCGACACACATCAGGTATATTAAATTAAGCCATAGTTAGAGTATTATAAATATTTGAATGAAAAAAGAAAAACAAAAGTTTTAATAGTATTATAATTTGGTTTTAGGATTTGCACACATCAGCGTGGTACGGCTATTTGGGTGGTGGATTCACTTTCGGATTTTATTTGGATACACTATGCCTAGTTTATCTTTCTTCTGTCATCTTTGTCTTCTTGTATCTTGACTTTGGTAACTTTTATTTTATAAATATTGTCTTCGTTACTCAACATCAGTACATAATTTTACGTGGTAGAGCCACGCTGCAGCTATATTATGTTTGCAGTACGATTGGGTGGGCTCGACCGGGGTAGAACCACGCTCTAACAGAATACGTAAAATAGCAGTTTAATACTGCTGTATTTCGCATGGTGAGTGTAGAGATCTGGAGACCCTTTTTTCCTGGAAACGACACTGTGTGCCTCCTTCTTAGTTCTCAGGGGTGAAAACGCATCTAAGTTTTGATACTTAATCGAGGATGAATGTAGATGTCTATGGGCCACAGCATCTACTTACCATCAAGTGGACTATGTGCTCGTTTATCACCCTTATTCTATAAAAAAACATAATTACAACTAATAATGACTTTGTTTTGAACGATGTTATCCATTATATAATATCTTGGTTTAAGTGCCACCCAAGACGAATAATAAATAAATGAATATATTAAACTTAAAGGAACATGGTGACTTATGGTCAACGAAATATCTGAGCTAAATGCTGTACAATTTTAAGTGCCACTTATAATTTACTCGACGTTAAAAGAAAACATCGTAATGAAACAGACACGTCAAAGAAATAAAATATTTAGATGACAAACAATAACTTTACTTTTATTTTATTAAGCTTAGCCTTTTAAATTTTTTTCTACAAACTTTCACATTCTTGACATTTTACAGGTGATTTGATCCCCGTGGGCAGTGTAGGGTTAGCTGTGACACAGAGCAGCGCGCTCACCGCCATGTTGCAGCACGGCGCTCGCATGCTGGTGGAGTACGTCGCACAGCTCACCAGCGTTGAACGTGTGTTGGAGTACACTCGCGTCGAAACTGAAGAGAACCTCTTTGACGGACGTAAGCTTTGGTCTTCTTATTATTTATGCATTGGCGAGTGTAAGTCGATTCCTGTGGGTGTAGAGGCAACTAAAGCAATGCTAAAACCGTGTTCTGTAAACTTGTATTGTACTTAATTCTATAAGATATTTCCTGTCGAATATCAAATCAGGCAACGATTGTTATTACTATTAAACTATATTAGTATCTACTAAAATAGTTAGAGACTAGCGACTCTAAAAACCTGCTCAGGAATGAGATCGGATGTATATAAGCAATTACTTTAAGTAAAACTTTTAACTGAACCACTTTTGTGTTGCTAGTAATTTAAAAAAGCCAATAAATACTAAAATATTATTACAAATGGTAAAAAACCAGAACCTTAGTTCTTTTTGTAGCCCAAAAACTAAAATATAACTATATCAAAAAGAAATGCAATCAGCTTTCTTGGCTCTGTAAAGTGAGGAGTTAGGGCTATACTAATATATTTTAGTTATTCATTTTCTTATTGTTGTAAATATTGTATATATGATATTATGTAAAAATATTTCACAGTTTTCTACAATTTTAATGGAATTATGTAAAATCGGTTAAAACATAATCTTCTAAAATATACAAATAATATTAAAAACGACGATCTTTTGTTAGAAATGGTAAAAACATTTCATAAGCAAGTAGTAGTACTCAAAGGGGAAGTCAACTGCCTCTGTTGAAGCGAGCTTTTATATTGAGCCAAGATTTTAAATGAGAAAACTTAAATTGTAGGTCAAGGATGTGGAATGTTAAATGTCTTAACATGTATTTGCTATACCTGTTAATTCCATGCGATTCATTGCGTCGTAAGAAATAGAACAACTTAGAAAAATATATATATGTAAAATATTTTTCTGAAGTATATTCGAATATCGATGCGCAGATGATATATATGTTAAGTATATCATCTGCGCACGAGCCGCTATAGTGTTAAAAGTGTACAACCGAACATAGAGACACATATACCTGTGCCTGTTACAATATGTATACTGGGTGATTTTTTAACGTCTTGAAAAAAATAGGATATAACAAGTGAACGAAATAGAAGCATATGGCACTGATATTTTACACTTACATATTATGAAATTGATCTATCAATAAATATTACTAATTGGATGCGCATTATTTTAATTTCGATAATTTTTAATTTATTTAGTTCAAAAATTTTGTTTTTACTTTTTACTACCGACTATTTTATTATAAATTTCATAATATGTTAATTATTGTGGCATTACTTGGGGGAGGCCTATGTTCAGCAGTGGACTTGTGAAGGGCTGTAATGATGATAATGATGATGATGATGATAATGTAAAAAATAAAATTGTAAAATATTACTGCCTTAGGCTTCTGACGGTATAAAAATCAGCCCGTATACTGGTAGATTTTATAGATATAGTTCAATTTCATAATATGTTAGTGTAAAAGCAACTGTTCACCTGTTATAACCAATTTTTTCCAGACGGTAAAGAATATCACCCAGTATAACAGTTAAAGCTAACTAATAGGCTTTAAAACAATATTATTGCGTTTTAACACAAATTTTCTTTCCAGCTTCGGTTAGGATGTGCATGTCTAAGTCTCCGTATTGTTCTCATGGGCTTCTCTTCTTGTAGGAAGAATTTACTAAAAGACAGACCAGACAAATCGCACTTTTGATGCAGTTCCTCTTTTTTTATAGAATAAAAATGACAAACAAACACACAGTCTACCTGTGTCTAAGTGGATGCTGTGTCCCATAGACATTTAAATTTATTCTCAATTAGGAATCAAAATGCAGATGCGTTGTCACCCTGAGATTGAATACTCTGTTTCCGGCAGTCTCCGGTTCTCTACTCTCACCATACGAAACACAACATCGTTAAGCTGCTATTTTACGCTGGTATTCTGTGAGAGCGTGGTTTTACCCTGATTGAGCCGACCCATTCGTGCTACAACCATGATATAGCTGCAGCGTGGCTGTACCAAGTAAAAACTTTCCTACTCGCCACTAGTCTGAGTGTTTTTATTGGATGTAAGCAGGATGGATATATCGTCATCTGTCGGAGCCATGGCCATGAGATCTGTGAGCTTTAGGGCCTCCTAAGAGAACCACGAGACGAAATGGATTTAATGGATTCTCTTAAGCCGTCACCTACTGCAATTATGATTTAAAGAATTACAACATGATGATATAATATTTAAGAATGATTGTTTCTGTTACAGCGATACCTATTCCACCAACGTGGCCTTCAGAAGGAAGAATAATATTCCAAAACGTAAACTTGCGGTACGGACCTGATGAAGATCCAGTATTGAAGAATTTAAATCTCGTAGTGGAAAGTGGTTCGAAGGTAATAATGATAACGTTTTGTATGAAAAAATAAACACTCAAAAACGTTTAAATAATAAGACATAATTCAGTATCATAATATTTACGATTTCGTTACTTACGATTTCAAAAAATAATATGAGGTTTAGCATTTTAGAAATTTCTGCATCCTGAGCTAGTCAGATGTATACTAAAATGGTTCAATCAAAATATTCATAGCATTTCACAACAAATGGTAAAATAAAAATTTTTGTAGAACCTACTTCAATATAAATAAAATGACAATATAATCAGTGTAGAAGAAGTCAATTATATACGCATTATTAAAGATAGCTTAAAAACTACAAGTCAGGTCGTGATCAAATTTATATGGAACCACAGTGAGGTTTAAATTAAGCATCAGCTTTCAAATAAAAAGCGAATCAACAAAATCGGTTCACCTATAAAAAGTTCTGAGGTAGCATACATAAAAAAACATGCATTCGAATTGAGTACCTCCTTCTTTTTTGAAATCAGTTAAAAAGAAAAGTGATGTTCTCTCGTAAGCATTCTATTTATATATTTTCTTTCTTCTTAAGGGGCCATAAAATTCTATAGCTGGAATTTACCCGCGCACTGCTTAACTGCTCTCCGTCGCGGGTATCGGCATTTTACGTAAGATGTAAAATTTTATGATGATGTCTAGCCATGGACTTTGATAGGATGATGATAAATAAGAATACAGTACAAAATCGTTCAAAATTCCTCATGATGACTTTGTCCCTTTTGACATTTCGCCGCAGTTGGCTTATAACGCGAACGAATCAACGCTCAACGAATTTTGGATACCTGAGAACGTGTTGACGTGCTCTTATTTACAATTTCTCCTTCATAATGATTTCTTATATTTACGCGAATACTACACATGGTATTAAACTAAATTTACGAAATTTTATCGCGCTTAATTTATTTTTTTTTTATAATTTAATATTATTTTTAACTTTTCCTCCCATGACCGTGGGTTCTGTAAAATGCCCAAGATGTCGAGATTAAAAACGTTTTATTCCATTCTCTTTTCATGTCAATACCTAGACAAGAAGTGAAATATTAACACCTTTTTGTCATTATAGGTGGGCATCGTGGGTAGAACCGGCGCCGGCAAGTCATCCTTAATATCAGCGTTGTTCAGATTTGCGTACATCGACGGAAAGATAACCATCGACGGAATTGATACTGCCATGGTTGCTAAGCAGGTAATTATGAGGAGTCCTTATTTTAAAATGGAGTTTTTTTTTTTAAGAATATGAGTGACAAACGACTACATAGTCCACCTGATGATAAATGGATGCCATGGCTCATAGCCATCCTCATCTATACTTGATTAAGAATCATCCATATCGCCATCGTATTGAGATTTACACAGACTACAAAGCCTATAAGTAGACGAAGTTTAGTGTAATTAATTATTTGCAACGACACTAAAGGATAAAACGGTACCACAATTAAAATGGTCTTGGTTCGACTGCAAAAATAGGCATGCCCAATAAGAATGTGCTAGCGTCTCTAGTACCAGAATCTTGTAAGTTTCGCCGGCATCTAGCCATGCAAGCGCTGTGTGCCTGTCTATACTCAGAACTTACGTATTTACAAAGAAGCAAGCTGCCAGAAGTGAATCATTACAGATAGGGTAAAATACTTTTTTTAAACTCATTAAAATATATCAAAACAAGTTATAAAGGAGTTTCTCGTCTCACTAATAATAATCATATAAGCAAGCTGTGTCACATGGTCAGCCTTATTTTTGTTTTTGAGCGTAGATCCCAGTTAAGGTGAACAGGCACAGCCAACCCTACAAAACTCATTGCGCACCTAGAAAATCATTGAAGAGGCATCTTTCTATGAGAGTGAATAAGTATCTACGAGGGGAAGTTCAAAAGTTTGCGGAATGGCGAAGTTGGCGAGGGTGAGTTTACTCATCCAGGTCGGCGCTAGTTGAGTGACTCATTGTTAGTATAATATATACCAAGTTTTAGCCTAATCGGGTCTTTAGATTTTGAGTTATCAACGAGTAAACAAGTCAATCGGGAAGAAACTAGCCACTATGGAGAAAATTGAATATCGCGCCGTCATTAGGTTTCTCACCAAACATGGAAAGACACCCCAAATCATTATTCAAGAAATGTCAGTTTGTTGACAACTGGGTCCTTCAGGGTGTCACTCCTGTAGAGTGTGAAGAGGATCGGGGAGAGAACGGAGCCCCGAGGGACTCCAGCCTTCGGAGGGCGGGGAGAGGCCGCTTGGAGGAGCGAGTTCCATCTATACGAAAACGAAAATGGCGGTTGGCAAGAAAGGCTCTGATGATGTGAGTGAGACTATCAGGTAAGTTTAAGTTGAACAGCTTGTAAAGCAAACCGTTGTACCAGAGTTTGTCCAAGGCTTTGGCGACTTCGAAGAAGAGGGCACCGGTGTTACGGATTCGACCGTCACCCTTTGAGTGGGAGAAGCCCTCTCGGATGCATTCCATAAGGCGATGAATCTGATTTGTGCACGAGTGTTTGGGTCTGAAACCGATTGCTCGTCAGAAAGAAGCTTGTTGGTAAGAACGTATTTACAGTTTGACAGGTTGTTTCACTTAGTCTTGTCCTGGATGATGATGGGGGGCGGCGGCTTTACCTACGTTCAGCAGGGGACTCTTTCTCCGTGCGCCTAGCCGCAGGCTTGGGGGGGTTGAGCACACACCGTGGGGGCTGGTTTTTTAGCCGGAGTGGCGGTGGGGTACGGGGGGGACGAGTTTGTCTCTGCTGTCTTTTTTGGTGTAGTGCGCTTACTCTTTTTGCCCTGGATGTGGGTGAAACCTTCATCTTCAGGCTTGGGCGGGGCACACGTCTCGGTTTCCATGTCGGAACCTGAGTCGGCATCCGAGTAGACCAGAGAGGAAGAAGCAGCGTCGTTTACTGACGCAAACGCGGCCGGAGATATAGCACAAGTAGTTAGCACAAGTTAAAACAGATGTGTACCAAGCTCCCCACCTTTCGGAACCTAAATTAACACCTATACACCTTGCGCGTTGGTACACTGGGGTGTGTACCTAGCTTGTTTCCTAATGCAACAAGGAACACAGAAATTAAATTTAAAATAGATGACTGCCTCTAAGGCAACGGGTGTGTTTTCACTATACTTACGGTTAGCCGAAAACCAGGAAGCCAGGAAGGAAAGTAACGCACAAAGCACTCTTTTAAGCACAACTAGCGTCCGACATACTTCACTTGTGAGACTGATGTCACCCAGGACACCGTGCTTCGCGCACCACAATGTGAGCACTAATACGGTCACCAAACACAGAGTACAAAGCAGCAAGCCTGGTATAAGATATACTACTTATTTTAGTTGCGCACATGAGCTAGTAGAGTGGAGTGACGGAAGTAACCACAACGAATGATACGTCCTAAGTTCACAGAGCTCAAGGCAGGAATGTGAATGGACTTACCCCGAATCTCTCGCACGACACCTGCAGTGAACTTTATACCGCCCAAATAAGTAGAGGGGTTTCTCGATATACTCTCAATTCCACCTCGCTACCATCAATATGACGCTCCACTAGAGTGACCCAACCACTCGCTCACTCTTGATCCAACTGATATTTTACAGACGCCCTGATATACTTATTTGAGATTTTATGAGCATTTGAGAGTAAATAGTTAAATATTATTTACAATAATAATTTTATTTATTTCCAGGGCTTACGTTCAAAAATTTCTATCATCCCGCAAGAGCCTGTACTATTTTCAGCAACAATAAGATACAATCTTGACCCATTCAACATATACAGTGACGACGATATCTGGAGAGCTCTCGAGCAGGTGATATATTGGTTGATTAAGACAAATATGTGCTATATTATAAAAATTATCACAGATAAATAACAATTATATTTTATAGGTAGACATGAAAGCGGCTGTTCCCTCTTTAGACTTCAAGGTGACTGAAGGTGGCTCCAACTTTTCTGTTGGTCAAAGACAGCTCATGTGCTTAGCGCGCGCTGTGCTTCGGTCCAATAAGATATTAATAATGGATGAGGCTACAGCAAATGTTGACCCACAGTATGTATTGTGAAAAGCTTTGGAATTTTTCTACAAGAGTTCTTGTTCATGTTCTGTTTTCTTTTCAGGACGGATAATTTCATTCAACAAACAATACGACGTCAATTTGCATCGTGCACTGTCCTGACGATAGCACATCGTTTGAACACTGTTATGGACTCTGATCGTGTCCTCGTAATGAGTGGTGGAGTTATCGCGGAATATGACCACCCCTACAAACTGCTCTCAGATCCCAACAGCAGTTTGTCTAGTATGGTGCGCGAAACCGGTGAGAAGAGCAGTCACATATTGTATCAAGTTGCTAAAGATGCTTATTTCAAAAATAATCTGAAAGAACATTTAAGATGATATTAGTCATAGTGTAATATTGATGAATCCAGATACAGTTTTATAAATACGATTGTTAAAACGGGGGTAGCCTCTACATTTGTTTACCAATATTGATTATATTTTGAGCTCACATATTCTAATAGAGTATTGTTTGATGCTAACTATTAATTAAGTAATATTGTAACGATTTTGAGTTCTAATATTTCGTAATGTGTGAAAATATAACTAAAATCTATATGCTAAAAATATGTAAGAGATATAATAGCGTAATTCGTATTAGCACAAAATAAAAATTTGTGGGAACATTAGGGTTGACAGGCAATGTTTGTATCGAAAATAAAGATTTTTTATTGCTATGGATCAAATGAATGTTCAAGCCACAGAACAATATTATTCTACCTATAGGTTCGGGCTTTATAAAAAAATTTCCGTTAATTATTCTTCAATATACATTAAGCACTACACGTTTATAGTCACTGATAGTGATAGTGTAATATTTTTTGTTCTATTTTTTATTACACAATAACATAAACGCAAGATTTTTTCATTTAACTATTATACAATTTTTGTAGACTACAGACAGTAGCTTGTTTTGTAAATACAAGCGCTACAGGAAAATAAATACATTAATAATCATCTAATTTTACTAATAAGTAGTCATAAGCGAAGACAATGTTTTAAACAGTGCCGATTAGAATACTAAGCCTGTTTTAGATCTGTATTTATTTACTAATCAACTGGATAACTAGGAAGATATTGAAATAAAATATTTTCTTTATTTAGTCTGTATCAAATAAAGAGTTAGACGACATTTGAATACTATTTACTCACTGCACAACATTTCAGAAATTAAGTCGATAGAATATATCAAATCTATACATTTTTCACTACTCTTATCACTGTTAAAGTTCTAAGTATTATACTTAGATATAATGTTTTATTTCATTTATTAACTTCTATAGACCATAATTAAAACATTCCATTCGAATTCTATATATGTCAGGTTACGGAAGTTTCAGAAAGATACACTAGGCCGTGTAACAGCGATGCTGGTGTTAGATTTAAGCAAGACTGTAAATTATATTGGAATATTTAAAAGAGCAAATACTTGTATCCAACAACGGCAACTCCAAATGCCGGTTGTGATTTTAGCACGCTATGTATCATTATCTGACATGAATCTGACATTCTGATATCACATATTATTATTTATTCCACTAGATTATTACAATAAAACGATTTATAAAAATTATATTTATTGAATTTTCCCAAAATAAAAGAACTAATTAGGGCTTACCTTAATGATATCTAATAATTTAAATAAAATAATGTTTTTTTTTCATGAAAAAATATAAGAAACGAGGGCAAGGTGAACTACCTGATAGTAACCGGATGCGTTGTCCAATAGATACATAAACTTTTCTTCGATTAAGCATAGCTCACTTGATGGCTATGATAGTAGATAGATTGCATGTCTCTCCATTAAATGGTTATCTATACTTACCATACGAAGCACAGCAGCATGATCGATTATTCACTTTACACCGTATCGCAACCGGACCGGCCTCAGTGCAGTTTTCTGAATTGAAAGGAAACTGAGCCAAATAAAAGATCCGTCAGAGATGCAGCTTTTTTAGTTAAAAGGAAACTGAGCTTAATAGGTCCGTCAGAGGTGCAGCATTTGGAATTGAAAAGAAACTGAGCTAAATAGGAAATTTTGAATTGAAAGGGAAGATCTGTGGGAATTCTGATTAATTGATTGTGGGAATTTTGGAAAAAAACTAACTGAACACTATTTTAAGACGCTACTATACACAATGATATATGTTTTTCCATTCGGGGAAAGAATGTGGAGATTCTGGGCATTTGACATACGCGAACATGCTACATACAGCTGACCATGAGAGAAGCACGGTTTTTCTAAGTTGACCCCCGCTACCTGTAACGTTTTCACTTGCGCTTTTTTAATTGTCATTGCAAAACTGAGCTTAATAGGGAACTGATACCTTTAGAATTGAAAAGGAATATCTGTGGGAATTATAGGGATCCGTGGTATGATAATATTTTCACCTTTTCCTACGCCTGTCTAAATTGTAGCACCGATTATGTTCCGTCCAAGATGTGTCACACGCAGCCTTGTCCCGTTACATAACCGAGGAGCATCTAAATTTCGCATTATCATGACTGGGACGCCTAATTTTAATTGAAGCTTATGTGAGGGCACACCTGACCACTCTAGAGAATTTAGAAACTCTACGGGATATGAAGTGCTCTGTTCTGTGTCCATAACTGTATCTACTGACAAATACTCTGTTATTTCTCCTGCTACTTCGCTTAATATATCTGAATTTATTTCGTTAACGCTCTCATTTTTTGGTGCAAGAATCGCCCTTTCACATAACCATTTGTCTTCATGCATGTTGTTCGTTAAATCTGAATAAACGCTCGCAATTAATTCGGAATGACTCTGTACTAAATTACAAAAATCTCTCGTCAATTTAACGCAGCCCTCAGCATCCATTTCCAACCGCCCATCGTCAATTTTTAATAGTGTGTCAGCATAGTTTCCAGCATTGATATCATTATACAAATGCACTCTCATATTCGTAGTTAAACTGAATTTTGTCACCTTGTTCCATAAAATAGACGACTTGAGGCATGCTTTAATTTCATCTGCACGTGTGCCCTTTTTGAATGACAGGTAAAGTTTGGCGAAAGTCACCAGCCAGTAAAACCACCATTCCTCTCATTTTGCACATTGCTGCGCAAATCCTGGAGCGTTCGATTTAGTGCTTCTACAGCTTTTTTATGCGACATTGTACTTTCGTCCCACACTAAAATTTTGCATTGTCGTAGCATTATACCTCGTTCACTATTTTTGCTAAAGTTGCAGATCGGCGATTCTACCTGGGCTAGATTTAGAGGGAGTTTTCTAACAGAATGTGCAGTGCGGCCCTAGCTTAGCAGCGTGGCGGCTATACCGGAGGAAGCTACGGCCACAGCAATGTTTTTATCTTTCCGTACTTGCGCTAATAATAAATTTAACAAAAATGTCTTCCCAGTTTCTCCAGGGGCATCTAAAAAGAAAAGTGCACCATTTCCAGATTCAATTTGTCCTAATACTTTGTCAAAAACTCGTCTTTGTTCGGGAAGCAAGCGGGGTAAAAATTCGGCTACTTGCTGCTGCAAAACTGGTATATCGTAGTTTGTTTCACGTATAATTTCATCACTTAGTTCATTTTTGGTTGTTCGCTGAGGGTTTATCATTCCAAAGTCGCTTAACTTTTTGCCCACCATTGCCATTACTTTATTTTCAATGTTTCCAAGTGCTTCATTATAAATGTGTTCATTGTATGTCATGTTCCCGTGTGTCTGCTGTAACCTTCGCAAAATATCTTTCGCCATGTACTCTTTATATTTGTTCCGCAATTCATGTGCATTAGATAGCCCGCAAGATGTTGTGAGAGTTGCATAAAGATCCCTCATTTTGGTTGGTGACTGACACTGCACAGCTTCCTCCATGGTTTCATCCCAGTGATTATCGTTTTCTAAAAAGATGCAGAGTTTCACATGCTTCTCTATAAGTTGCGCATTCCTGATCGTTGACAGTTTTAAGGTTTTTATATCCTGTAGGACCCCGAACATGGTTCAGCAGCAGTCGTAAACAGAAATATTCAAAATTGTATACGGCGTTTCCACTCCATCCTCGATGTGTTCCAAGTATATAATAGCGGGGGACTTCAGAATATAACAACGTTTTTGCAAAGGGGTCGGTTTGACAAAGTTGAAAGAAGGCTGTTAGTGTAGTTTTTGGCGGTGATGCAATTCTTTCTTCGAAATTTCTTTCGGTGAAATATACACGCTCTCCATTTTCTAAGTGCACAGCAAGGTGAGTAACTGTTGGGTGCCTTTCGTGTAAAGGGAAGCCAAGGAGACGCCACGCTGCCTCGTTACTGCTGACATAACGCCCTGCTTGAAAGGTCTGTACTTCATTAACGGGATTTGCCTTACTTCACTCCTGAGATTAAATATTGCTTGGTCGCTTCCTTTATTTATGTACTTACAGATATACTTGATTCCGCGGACAGAGCTACATGCTTCTACATTAATGTGGGTATTAAACATTTTACATAGAATGGGCGAATACGGGACAATCCAGCTGTTATCTAAGGTTTCGAACGCACCAGAGCGAGATTTGATTGTAACTTTCTTGCCACCATCTTTGGGAGCTCTGCGTCTGTATAAAGGGTAGCCATTGTCATTGTGCACTGTTTCTTTTAATAGCTGTTTAGGGAATTTCTTTGTACATTTTCCTTCTTTCATATATGGCGATATTGAATTTCGTGCTCCACATGGACCGTGAATCATATTTCGGACGATGGGATCATACAATTATTTATCTTACTCAGGATCCGGAATCTCGGCGCTTATTATGTCGTCTATTTGGCTGGGCCGCAACTTCTCTTTAAGCCATATTAGAATGTGGGCATCCGGTAATCCCCTTTTTTTGCCATTCAATTGAATACGTGAAGCACTGCACCTCGCCGAAAATTTTCCCTTTGTTAATTATATACATTAATTTTTGTACTTTTAATCTAAATACTAAATCGTGTCTGTCAGTACTTTTTTGGCCCGGCATTGGCTCCTCGGTTATTTCTTTCCATGTGGGATTGCAAGTAAAAGTAACAAAAAGATCAGGTCTTCCGTAAGTTCGTACATAGGCAAATGCGTCTTGTGTGTACTCATGTAGGTAGCGGGGACTGTTAACGAATGATGAGGGCAGAATTACCATTTTACCTAAATTTCTGGGGTTTGCATTGGCGTCTAGAATCTGCATCTTGTAAATGTATATAATTCTCAACGCGCAGATTTTTTTGATTTAAAGTTATATAACGGAGACGTTCACTTTCTACTAGACATTTATGAGTAGACATGTATGTGAACATACATGTATACTAAAAATTGATGAAATAATTGTCTACACCGGGCTAAGAGGTTAAAATCGTTTTCTCGCAACA